ACCTTCTCAACAACAGTCAATCAGCAGCTTCACTAAACGGACTGTGCTGCCAGACAAACGAAGACAACAAATCACCAAGCTGCTTGTGAATTTCATTGTTAAAGACATCAGGCCACTCAGCGCAGTGCATGGTGAAGGCTTCCGAGAACTAGTCAACTTTTTTGAACCGCATTACGTTATCCCCTCTTACCGCACAATATGGAATACTATAAAACACGAGTACAACGGTGTTCACGAAGAAATGGCGAATGAGATGAGAGGAAAAAGCGTGTCTCTAACGACAGATCTATGGACTTCACCAAATATGGAGCCGTATATTACAGTAACGGCACATTATATTACCAACACATGGGAACTAAAAGCCAGGGTCTTGTGTACAACATTGATGACTGAGAGACACACTGCCATTAACATTGCTGGTCGCTTAAGTGAAATTATTGAAAATTGGGGGATAAGCGCGTTTTGCACCGTTCATGACAATGCCAGTAACATGAATTTAGCACTGGAGCTCTGCCAAATGTGTCTAAAAGATTTGGGATGCAGCGGACACACTCTACAGTTAGCTATAAAGTCCGGTTTGGTCTTACCTGATGTGGCAAAGGCGGTCGATGCAGCGAGGAGAGTTGTCAGCCACTTTCGCCACTCCGCCCTTGCTACGTGTTCTCTCAAAACGCGTCAGGAACAACTCGGCATGAAAACAAATAAACTCCAGACTGATTGTCCTGTCCGCTGGAATTCTACCTTTACAATGCTCCAGCGGCTTTTTGAGCAAAGGATCGCAGTGCAGTCTGTACTTTCGGATGACGCAGTTACAAAACCAGCAGTCCAAAAGAAACTGGCAATGAGAGCTTCGCAGTGGGAACTTCTTGAACAACTTGTTCCAGTCCTGCAGCCTTTGGCCAAAGCCACCGAGATATTGTGCGGTGAACTGCACGTAGGACTTTCCTTTATTTACCCCGTGATCCTGAACATGGTCAACACCACGCTGCGCGTTGAGGGCTCTGATCTGTCTGCGGTGCGCGCATTTAAGAACACAGTCCGACAACAGCTAGAAACACGATTCAAACTGGACTCTGATGATCTGCCCTCGTCTATCCCAGTTGTGGCCTGCATGTTAGATCCTCGCTTCAAGCACCTGAAGTTCATCCCAGACAGCAAAAGAGAGAGCGCATACAGCCACCTGGACACCCTGCTTCTGGATGAGAGTGAGACGCTGAGCGTAACAGGTGCGTGTGTCTCTATTCATTTAAAAAGCAAAGATATATTGCTCATTCAACAATACTGATATCTGACAAAAAAACGCATAGATTACAGACAACGCATTATGTCCAACAAAAATAATTAAATCTGCTTCAATTTTTGCTTCTATTAAGTGCGTAAAATGCGCGCGGTGTAAGCGCTGAGACATTTACGCATGGTATATTACTATACATTTAACAAGGGGGACAATATTGTATGGATTGTGTCGCTAATGTTCTACGTGTTTGTTAGATGTCGGTGTGGAAACCTGTGAAACTGAGCAGACGGGGAAGGACATAGGGAAGAAGGCGCGTCTTGAGCTGGACTTTGCGGAGCTGTTTGGGACGCATTTCGAAAGCGGGCAGAATAAGGCCCGCGGCTCCACAGCAACTGAAGAGGCCAGACAATATTTTCTCTTGCCCCAAATCCCAACTCTGGACAACCCGTTGCAGTGGTGGGCCCGAAACGAAAGGCGCTTCCCGCGCTTGGCAAGGCTCTCAAAGACATATCTGGCCATACCAGCAACCAGTACCCCCAGCGAGAGAATTTTTTCTCTAGCTGGAAACACAATAACAAGACAGCGCGCCAGTCTCCATCCTGCACACGTAGATGAGTTAATTTTTCTTCATGAAAATACCAAGTCCAAAACAAAAAAGGTGACTGAGGAGGAAGAGCGAGACAGCGAGTGATTTAAAACCAGTCTAGTCATTAACGACTGTTTGAGCTAAAAACATTTTAGCCTAAAGTTAAATAGGAAGTTTAAATGATAAATGTTCTCTGTAAACATTGCTGTTTTGGAAGTTGGATGTAACAATTTGCAGTTTTGCCAAATAAAATGCAAAGTTTAAAACGTCCTCTTTATTTGCGATGACGTCATCGACTAGTCGACGTCGACTCAACTAGTATGCATATAAAGTCGACTTTTAAAAATATGAAGTCGTTCAACCCCTAATGTGTATCGTGTCACTACATTTATTGTGTTACCAGCAATACACACACTGGGGTTTGGTGAATTAGAATTTTGTTCTGCACATGTTTTGAAAAAAACATGTGCAGACATGGTTTTTTCAAAACCATGTTTTGAAAAAAACATGTGCAGGCACGACTTAAAAAGCCATTCTGAAACATGAATCATGGTTTCAGTCAATTTTTGGGCTGCTTCCGCCTTATCTTTACCATGTACATAGATCACAGTGTCGTCTGCATACATTTGAATATCACATCCAGAACACACAGATGGTAAGTCGTTTATATAGATGCTGAACAGGAGCGGCCCCAGGATAGAACCCTGGGGCACACCGGCAGTGTAAGCCCGATGGGACGATAGACTAGTAAGTAAGTAAGTAAGTAAGCTTTATTTATATACCGCCTTTCACAGACCAGAGTCACAAAGCGGTTTACAATTGTTATTTTTTGGGCACTTGTCCTCTCACTCCACACAGAGATGGGAGCGGGGTCACCGAACAGGAGGCGCATGCCAGACCTATTGTACATATTTTTAGTGGTAGGGGAAACCGGAGTACCCGGAGGAAACCTACGCAGACACGGGGAGAACATGCAAACTCCACTCAGAAAGGCCCTGGTCCGGCCGGGATTCGAACCCAGGACCTTCTTGCTGAGAGGCGAGAGTGCTATCCACTCAGCCACCGTGCCGCCGAGACTATTATTTATCCGGACCGCTTGTGTCCTGTGTTCTAGATATGATTTTACCCAGTTTACCGCTTCAGGTGAGAAGTTGAACAGTGATAGTTTGGAGATGAGGACATTATGGCTGATGGTGTCAAATGCTTTTTCAAGTCCAGGAAAATGGCACCGACTACCCCCCCTTTATCCATTTTAGCCTTTACGCTTTCAATGAAAAAGCAGGTGGCAGTGTCAATGGAATGGTTGGCCCTAAAGCCAAATTGCATGGGGTGTAGGTTGAATGGAGAGTTGTTAAGATGGGCCTGTTGCTGATCAGCTACACATCTCTCCGCAATTTTTGAGACAACGGGCAATATGCTGATAGGTCTGTAGTTTGTGACTTCTTGTGCATTTTCAGACTTGAAAACTGGTGTAACAATTGCTGGTTTCCAAGTAGTAGGGCACAATGACTGTCTGAAAGAAGAGTTTATCAGTTTTGTGATGGGAGAAGTGTTTCTCTGTGTGTCTTCAGCAGTATTGTATCCAGTCCATATGAATCGGATGATTTCGAATTTTTTAGCGTCCTTATTGTTTTATCCACAATTGAGTGAGAAACTTCTCTTAGAGATAAAACCGGTTCAAATGTATTTAACCACACTTAGAGAGTCCGTGGGTGGGTTGTAAGATAACACTTCAACGGACTCCACAAAATGCTTATTGAAGGTAGAAACCACTTGTAATGGTTCTTCTATTAGACATGTATCTTTATATATTTTGATGTTATTGTCGCGGGTTTTGGTATTTTTTCCCATTAGAATTTTTAGCTGATCCCAAGTCATTTTACTGTTTCCTTTCCCTTCACAGATTTTATTTATGAAAAGGGTTGCTTTGGCATGCCTCAATTCCTTTACCACTCTATTTCTCAGGGTTGTAAACCTAAGCTTGTCATGCATCTGTTTAGATTTTAAGGATGATTTAAGGGCCATATCTCGCTCTTTCATTAACTTGAGTATGTCTTCATTAAACCAGGGAAGAACATACTTTTTATAACGTCTTTGCTTTACTTCTTTCTGATAGTGTTTTATCACACGCTGAATTGTGGAGATAAGTGCTTCGGAATCCGCATTTGTATCATTACCAGAGAGTATACTGTTCCAATTGATTTAATCTATTTTTGCATGAAAATTTGGCAGTTCAGTTTTTGGAATTTTGAGAGTGCTGCCTTTAATTTCATTGCGTGTTGGTCTTCTCTTTGGTAGCTTTCTAGATACAAGTGTGAGATTGTGATCAGATAGCCCAGTGATCATATTGTAACTTTTTTGAATTCGTTCTGGGGTATTACTGAAAACCAAGTCAATTTGTGTCTGGGTTGATGAGGTTATCCTTGTCGGACCTTTGACTACCTGGACAAGGTCATTCTTTGTCATTATAGACTTAAGTGACTTTCTTGCAATCTTATCCTCATAATTAATGTTAAAATCACCCATTACAATGACTTCTTTATCAGGATTACAATGTTTAAGGATGGTGTCAAGTTGTTCACAGAAGGTAGATTTGGAAGATTTTGGTGGTTTATATAGTCCCAACAAAGTAAAAGACATTTGTGGTGAGAGTTCAATATTAAGGCCAATACATTCCAGGTTGTCTTCTGAGGGCCACTGTATTTGAGAACATTGTATTGTGTTGCAAACATAGAACAAGAGACCCCCTCCTTTTCCCTCTTTTCTGTCCTTCCTGAAACTGTTGTATCCTGGCACAGTCAATGCGGCAGGTGGGGAAGCTTTGTGGAGCCACGTTTCAGAAAGGCATAGAAAGTCCAGGTTGGATTCCAAGAGAAGGTGCTTGATCTGGTCACTTTTAGGGATCAAACTGCGTATGTTTAAGTGACCTCCTAGTAGGCCGCTAGGCTTAGCCAGCCTTTAGTCCTGCTTTAGACCTGCTTTAGACCTGCTTTAGTCCTGCTTTAGTCCTGCTTTAGTCCTGGTATAGACCTGCTTTAGACCTGCTTTAGTCTCTGGTTTAGACTTGCTTTAGTCCTGCTTCAGTCTTGCTTAAGTCCCTTCTCTCTCTCTGGGGGAGGGACTGTTCTGTGAGTGAGTTTCCTGTTCTTTCCTCTGGACTCAGTGTAAATCTGAACCATGATTCGAGCTGCGGTCTTTGTGTTTGTCCTCGTCTCAGGTGAGTCTCACGGTGATTATTTCTCTAAAACTTATTCCAAAATGGTCTCACTCTGGTCTCTCTCTGGTATCTCCCTGGTCTCTCTCTGGTCTCTCTCTTTCAGGAATCAAGACTAAACAATTTATTTGCCATTTGCATTAAAACCACATTGGAAAAAATTGTGCAAGACTACCCCAGTGTGCACCAGACTGTACACACCAGGGCTCCTGCCATGGCACCGTTTTTCTGGCGCCATTCGTCTCTCTCTGGTCTCTCTCTCTGGTCCCTCTCTCTGGTCTCTCTCTCTGGTCCCTCTCTCTGGTCTCTCTCTCTGGACTCTCTCTCTGGTCCCTCTCTCTGGTCTCTCTCTCTGGTCTCTCTCTCTCGTCTCTCTCTCTGGTCTCTCTCTCTGGTCTCTCTCTGGTCTCTCTCTCTGGTCTCTCTCTCTGGTCTCTCTCTCTGGTCTCTCTCTGGTCTCTCTCTCTGGTCTCTCTCTCTGGTCTCTCTCTCTGGTCCCTCTCTCTGGTCCCTCTCTCTGGTCTCTCTCTCTGGTCTCTCTCTCTGGTCTCTCTCTCTGGTCTCTCTCTGGTCTCTCTCTCTGGTCTCTCTCTCTGGTCTCTCTCTCTGGTCCCTCTCTCTGGTCCCTCTCTCTGGTCCCTCTCTCTGGTCCCTCTCTCTGGTCTCTCTCTCTGGTCTTTTTCTTACATAGTTCCATTGTTGTTAATTCAATTGTAATATTTATCTGTGTATTGTTATGTGCAGCTGCAGTGGTCCAGTGTAAGGTCTGCTCGTATCAGGACGTTCTGGACCATGTGAACCTGACCATGAACAACGAGGCCCTGAGACTGACCCGCCCAGTCCTGGACTATAACACCCCCACCCTCATAGAACTCAACATCGTGCTCTACTCTATTCTGGCACTGGTATGAGGGAGGAGAGGGAATAAAGGGAGGACAGTAAGGAGAGAGGAAAGAGGAGAGAGGGAGGAGAGGAGAGGAGACAAAAAAGAGAGGAGGGACGGAGAGGGAAGAGAAGAGAGAGGAGAGAGGAAAGAGGAGAGAGAGGAGAGAGGTGAAGGAGTAGAGTAGTAGTATTCTCTTTGTGTAATGGATAAGACATCAATAAAAAAAACGAATTGTCTATTTTTCAGATCGAGAAAACACAGACCTTTGTTCCGTTCATCTGGGCCACGATGGTGAGTGAAGCTTCAACAAACCATCGACTGACACAAGCTGAAAACCAGGAAACCAGAGAGCCAATCAGGAGCTGTGATGGGCGATCCCAGAGGAAAACTAGAGAGAGACCAAAGAGAGGGACCAAAGAGAGACCAGAGAGAGGGACCAGAGAGAGGGACCAGAGGGACCAGAGAGAGACCAGAGAGAGACCAGAGAGAGGGACCAGAGGGACCAGAGAGAGACCAGAGAGAGACCAGAGAGAGGGACCAGAGGGACCAGAGAGAGACCAGAGACCAGAAAGATACCAGCGAGAGAGGGAGAGATCAGAGAGAGACCAGAGAGACCAGAGGGACCAGAGAGTGACCAGAGAGGCCGATGCAAAGTGATGTGTTATTCCTCTTGTTCAGCGGTGGCATAACGAGAGGCTCCACTGGAATCCGGACGAGTTCTGTGGAATCTCACATATCGCCGTCCCACGAGAACTTCTGTGGGAACCAGATCTGTTCATCTACGAAATGTAAGAGCGCTGGTGTATCCAAGCAAACTTTAGATTTTCAAAATAAGGCTTTGAAAGTGACAGAACAGTCCAAGGTCAGAGAGACCAGAGAGAGTCTTGAGAGACCAAAGAGAGACTCAAGAGACCAGAGAGAGACAAGAGAGACCAAAGAGAGACTCAAGAGACCAGAGAGAGAGAGAGACCAGAGAGAGATTAGAGAGACCAAAGAGAGACTCAAGAGACCAGAAAGAGAGAGAGACCAGAGAGAGATTAGAGAGACCAAAGAGAGACTCAAGAGACCAGAAAGAGAGAGAGACCAGAGAAAGGTTAGAGGCCAGAGATGGACCAGAGAGACCAGAGAGAGAACAGAGTGGGACCAGAGAGAATCACATTATAATGAACAAGTTCCTCCTCCTTGTGGAGCCTCACAAACTCTTTCCAACCTATTTTCCTCAACGTCAACTTTCTAAAGGAAAGAGCAGAACATGCAACAGCCCAAACTCTGAGGTCAGAGCTTTACTCACTCAAACACAGGTCCATGGCTCGTTACGTTGTCATTATCCAGACAATTGTCCCCAGTGTGACCTCTGAGCCACATGTGAACAGCGGACTAAAGGGTTCAAATCCCGGTCGGACCAGGGCCTTTCTGAGTGGAGTTTGCATGTTCTCCCCGTGTCTGCGTAGGTTTCCTCCGGGTACTCCGGTTTCCCCTACCACTAAAAATATGTACAATAGGACTGTGCATGCGCCTCCTGTACTGGCGACCCCGCTCCCATCTCTGTGTGGAGTGAGAGGACAAATGCCCAAAAAAATAATAACAATTGTAAACCGCTTTGTGACCCTTGTCTGTGAAAGGCGGTATATAAATAAACATTACTTACTTACTAAAGGACAGATTGCTTTTATTGTGTCTAAATATGGTCGCAAGGCGGGCTGGATGCCAAGTCCTTCTGGCAGGCCATTTGTAAAAATTTGCCGGATTAATTTGTCCCTGTTCTTGCATTATGTCCAATGACCATTTTTGTCCAATGACCAAACGCAAGATGGCCGCCACAGCTGCTCAGTGTAACTCCGTCTCTTCAAAGCATTGCTTAAAGTGATAAAAAAGTGATTCGTTGGCGACAGAGGCGGCAGCGAATTAAATTATCTCCATGGAAACCCCAAACCATATCCCTGTGACACCGACAGAAGATTAGGTTTATTTATTTGAGTTCACATGAAGTCATCGACTGTCTGCTCCATCTGAGACAAAATCACAGTAATATCAAGATCCCGCCTCTTCTGTCGATGATTCCACAAACTATAGATCACAAACTGTACACAGACAATGCTAACGCTCGCTCAATGACAAATTAATCTCTCTCTTGTCTCACTCTGGTCTCTCTCTCACTCTGTAGTCTCTCTCTGGTCTCTCTCTATTGACTTATGTGTAAGAGTAAACTCTCGCTCAGTAACCATTTGTGTTACACTCATTGACAGAGCTGCATTCTATCTTTTCTCTAACTTAGCTTTGTTTTGAAATCTCATCTTCCAGAATATAATTTCCTATTTCTACCAGAAGATGGAAGTGTTGTACTGGTCATCTGTCCATGACATTTCTACTCTCTATAGAGTTTATTTCACAAAACAGTTTGCAAATTGAACCATTTTGAAAACAATAAAGGTTAAATCTCTCTCTCCCTTTCTCTGGTATCTCTCTCCCTCTCGTCTCAATCTATGGTCTCACTCTCTGGTCTCTCTCGCTCTGATCTCTCTCTATGGTCTTTCTCGCTCTGGTCTCTCTCTCTGGTCATATGGACAAGTTTCAGCAGAAACCATATCTGAATTTAGGTTTGGCTCAAAACTTGTAGAATTGTATCCAAACCATGTGTGTTCTGCTGCAGGACGGAGAAGGACATGTCTCCTCGGAACCCGTACCTGGTTGTGTACTATAACGGGACAGTCCTGTTGGAGGAGGACCTGAAGATCATCAGCTCCTGTAAGATGGACATGCACAAGTTCCCCTTCGACACCCAGCAGTGCAACCTGACGCTGGGCTCCGCCATCCACACTGGTGAGAGACCAGAGAGACCAGAGAGACCAGAGAGACCAGAGAGACCAGAGAGAGACCAGAGAGAGACCAGAGAGAGACCAGAGAGAGACCAGAGAGAGACCAGAGAGAGACCAGTGAGACCTGAGAGAGACTAGAGAGAGACCAGCGAGACCAGTGTGACCTGAGAGAGGCCAGAGAGAGCAGAGAGAGGCCAGAGAGAGACCAGAAGAAGAAATCAGAGAGACAGACCAAAGAGAGGGTTCAGATTTCGGTTTTGTGTTTTCGTTCATATTTTTTGGAATATGGACAAAACAAGGACACGACTTTGCATCAGGTTTTAGTGTGATCTCTACACAGCCTTGGTATAAGACTCTGCATCAGTCCTGCTCTCCTCTCCCCTGATGTCCTCCTCCTCTCCTCCTCCTCTCCTCCTGCAGCAGACGAGATGCGTCTCCGTGCGTCCCTGAACTCGTCTCGTGTGACAGAGTTTACCCGTGAGCTGCTGCAGAGTCAGGGAGAGTGGGAGTTCCTCAAACTGTCGGTGGAAAACTACAACTTCAGCTTCTCCAGCCGCCAGTGGGAGACGCTCTGCTACACGGTGAGAACATGCAACGACATGAGACACACACAAGCCTCCCTCTGGTCTCTCTCTGGTCCTGGGTCCTGGGAAGTTTGTTTTTCACCTCTTCCCCACGGTGAAAAACGGCACGTGTCCAAACAACACACCAACCTTTCCCATCGAGGGTTCAAAATAAATAATCTATTAAAAATTCAAAGCTAGGTACTGCAGTTATTAGTGTAGCCTCTCACCTGCTGTTTGTCAGTTCACAGTGAAACGGCGCCCCCTGCTGCACGTCATTAACCTGCTGATCCCCATCATGTTCTTCCTGGTCCTGGACTTGGCCTCGTTCTTCATCTCGGACCATCGCAGCGAGAAACTGGGCTTCAAGGTCACGGTCCTGCTGGCCATCTCTGTTCTCCTGCTGATCCTCAACGACATCCTGCCCTCTACTTCCAACGACACGCCTCTGATAGGTGAGGGTTACTGATGCGACTGATGCTGTTACTGATGCTACGTATTATGTTACTGATGCTAATGATGACACTGATGTTGCTGATGCTGATACTGCTGCTATAACTTAATTTAACAAAAATTATCAAACTGAAAAGTTTCCACTCTCCCTGTCCCTGCTGAAGAAAAGCAGCTCTAACTCTGCTCTGTCCTCAGCCACCTACTGCATTGTCATCTTCGCCATGATGCTCCTCAGCGTTCTGGAGACCATTCTGGTGACGTTCCTTCTGGACCACAGCCAGAGGAACCAGAGAGACCAGAGGAACCAGAGAGACCAGGACCAGGCTGTCAGCAGAGGTGAGAAGAGCACAGAACCATGGGGTCTTTGGACTGACTGACGTGTGGTTTGTTTGCAGACGACAGATGTGTGAAGATGGCCGACAGTGAGGACGAGTCTGCACCAACTCTGGAGCTTCACTTCTTCTCTGAGCAGGTGAGACACAGAGGGAGAGAGACAGAGAACACAGAGGGAGAGAGATGGGGAGCAGAGAGTGAGACCAGAGAGAGCAGAGAGAGTGAAAAACTGCAACCATAGTTGATAGAAACGAGAAAGAGAAAATAACGAGACCAGAGCAAGCCCCGGCGATCCAAGATGGCGCCGTGTTCAAATGAATGGCTTGTGCTCAGTGGCGCATGTGCCGGCATGGGTACCGAAAAGATTGTGCATGTGCACTGAGGGGCTCGACCGTGCTCTGACCAATCAGCGGAGCGGGAGTTAGAGCAGAGTTTGTGGCAGTAAAGTGTGGATTTAAAGAAAAACGAAGGATTTAAGACAAAAAAAGTTCAGGATGAGAAGGGACACTAAAATCCCCACAAAATCCGATCTTTATGAAAGCTGTAGGTTCTCTGTCAGCTGAGGTCGCGCTGTTTTAATTTACATTGAGTTTTATGGGGAACATTCCTTGGTAGCCCACGTGAATTTAGTCTGGTTTAGTCTGCAGCCCTGTGAGAATCCCCGAGCACATGGGTTATTCAGCTACAAGCTAGTAATACCCTATCCAGTTAATATGATAGATCCATGGACCAGAGTTGATATGTAAAGACATTGAGCGCTGTGACCGTGTTTGTTTCATGTGGATTGTTGTTATAAATTGCAGAGAATTTAGCATTAAACTGAGACTAAAATCGACACTTACCATCGTTACCATGGTTGCCATAGTTACCAGGTGTGATCTCTTTGTGAACATCCAGTGCTGCTGTAACATCGCCCCCTGGTGTCTGTCCTCAGTCCTGTCCCTCTCCTTCTTGCTCCGAGTCCCAGACCTTGGCCCTGATCCTGGACGAGGTTCGGCATCTCCAGCGAGCCGTGAGCGTGCATGTGGGGCCTGCGCACGTGCATGATTCCGTCTGGGCCAGACGCATCAACGCCATGTTCTTCAGCCTCTACGTCTTGGTGGTGGCACTGTTCCTGCCCTGCATGTACCATCAGTGGGTCAGCTGCTAGAGAGAGACATGTTTAAAGCTGGGATACACAACTTTATCTGTTCATAAATATAACAAGTAGTTTGACCTAGAGAGAGGGATCAGAGAGAGAGACTAGAGAAAGACCAGAAAGAGCGAAATCCTAGAGAGACCAGAGAACAGAGTGAGACCAGAGAGAGAATAAGTGTAATCTACTATCAAGAAAAACCTGTTATTTTAAATGTTTTCTTTATTCCTCCCACAGTGGGGAATTTTCAATGTAACACTTGTTGTTTGACTTTATTTCCTCTTTGGTTTGGGGAGTTTAATGGAAGAAACATGAACAACAAAATAAGATTGATGAGGATTTGTTTTAAAGTTTGAGAACAGGGCGTTTAGGCAGAAGGGACGGTGGTAATCTTGTATGGGACGCTTTAATAAAGATGACATAAAACTCAAAATGGTTTTTGCAAATGTCTTCTTCAGCCATTGTTTCAGCTTTTCATCATGCAACTCTCCCAAACCGCATCACACACACATATGTCCATTTATGAATCAGCGGCAGAGAAGTCCATTATCACAAACCACAAAATCACATTCATCAAAGACAGTTAGAACCTCCTACCCCTTCCGGTACCCTCCAAACACCATCAACATCTGCCTGCGCCCGGACGCCGCTGGTCTAATGGTGCAGATGTGGACGCTACGGATACTTCTGCTTTTGGGTGAGTACAATATTTATTTGTTTAGAGTTAGCTTCTTTCATGTAATTTACCTGAGAGAGACCAGAGAGAGATCAAAGAGAGACCAGGGAGAAACACCAGAGAGTGACTGGAGAGACCAAGGAGAGACCAGGGAGAGACAAGAGAGAGACCACAGAGAAAAGAAACAATTCAATTCAATTTAATTTATTCAGTTATTGCACGCATTTACAAGCACATTACACTCCTATTTCACAATTACACCTTTCGTACACCAATATTACGTTTTTACAGACACTGGCGTCATGGTAACAGCCTGAGCATAGAGCAGTATTCTGAGGCCTTATGTTTTCAGACACATCAAAAAAGGACAGAACCTGTTGTCCAAGAAAACCCTGATTCTGGACCCGATTGGGCCTGAGACCTGGGACTGGACTGAGTTAAACATGAATGAAACACAGGTTTAGTAACAGACTAAGGCCCAGGATTTATCATTGAATCCAAATCCACATTCACCAGAGCGTCCTTTCCTCTGAATATCTCTGTATGAAACTGTGATACGAGGACCATACTTCCAGCTCCACTCCACCTCCTAGTAACAGCGACTCGTCACACTCTCTCTGCTAAGGACCAGAGGCCACTCACTGAATCTTTCCTGATTATCTGGATACTTCTGATCTTCCAACACGCATGTAGCTCTTCTGTTTCCATCAGACAGAGACAGCCACATGTTCACTGTGTTTATGTCCAGAGTGAAGTCTGCAGAATATTGTAAGGACTCCTCTCTGCTCCTGGGTTCTGTCGTTAAAAGCTGCAATCTCTCTCAGAGCTCGGACACAACTCTGGTCACCTCCTCAAAGGGGCTCCTGGCCTCTGTGTAGCCCCTGACTGGGACCGGCCCTTCTGTGTGGCCCCTGACTGAGAATGTCCGTAAAGAGATTGAACCAATCAGACAGAGACTCACCTGAAAAACGGCCAGCTCCCACTGAGGCTCAGGCTCAGAGAACCTCACAATCTGTGTATGTCTTTGTTTGTTTGTGCGTGTGCGTGTCTTTGTGTGTGTGTGTGTAACCACACCACAAGTGAGACCAAAAAGAGACCAGAGAGAAAGACCAGAGAGAGACCAGAGAGAGAGACCATAGAGAGACCAGAATTGACCAGAGAGACCAGAGAGTTTGAATTGTGGTATAGTGGCAAGAGTAAAATACATGGACCCCGAGTGTTTAAAGATATTTCATGAGATAGCTCTTATGAGGATTAGCTATATCCTACCAGGTGGAAAAACGCAAGACTCTACAAGGACTGTGTATTCATGTTATGACTATGATATGCTCTGAGTGTCTTTGGATGTGACACGTATGTCTTTCAATGTCCATCCATCCATCCATTTTCTACCCTTTAATCCATTTCTGGGTCAGGGGGGTGGAAATCAGAGATGCCACCCAAGTCTCATAGCACCAGCCCCTCACTGACCCTCTGCAGGTGGTGAGTCCACAGGAGGACGGCTGCTCTCTGAGTGTGAGCATAGCCTTGATCTTTCAGTGGGGGCTTTTGGGCAAAGTGGGGTTAAGTGTCTTGCCCAAGGACACAACGACAGCAGTCATCAGCGGGAGTCGGTGGAGAAGGTGTAGAGGTGGGAATTGAACCCACAACCTTCAGGCCTGAAGGCCAATGCTCTACCAACTGAGCTACTGTCTTTCAATGTGTGACGTAAAAATTACTATGAAAATCATTTGCTGACTCTATTCTGTCTGAAAGAATTGAAACAACTGAAATCACTGGATCCCGAGAGAAGTCTAAATAAACTTCCAGAGCTTTGGTGCGCCACGATCCGTCTCTGTGTGATTCATTTCCCATACTCTGACCAATGGGGCTCTTTGCTGCTTGCATCGCTGGCAGGAGCTGTAATCTGATTGGAGGTCTCTAAACTGTATTATTGTGCTGCTAATGCTGCCGGATCATTAACCGTTACTTGATGAGAAATGGTGATTCTCTAATGCTTTCTCCGACCGCACTCAACCTCCAGACCTCAGACCATTTCCGAGACGTGTTTTTGGACGAAACCAGGGAGAAACCAGGGAGAGACCAGAGAGAGACCAGAGAGACCAGGAGGAAACACTAAAGAGAGACCAGAGAGACCATAAGACCAGAGAGACCATGAGAAAGAGACCAGAGAGAGACTAGAGATAATATCTGAGAGGATCAGACTCAAAAATGTTTTTCTGTGAATTCCCTGTGTCCGCCTGTAGGGGGCGTGGTGGCGGAGCGTACCTGTCGCTTCAATGACGTAGTGGAACATCTGCAGCTGAAGAGGAACAGCGACTTCTTCTATATGAGCCGCCCGGTCAACGACTACCGACAGCCCACGCTGGTAACCGTGGAGATGAGTCTGTACGCCATCCTTGACGTGGTCAGTCTACAACACACAACAGTCACTATACGACTTTTTGGGCAAAGAGCGGATTGGCTGAGTGAGGATTGTCATTTCTAATAAACTTTTCTGTCTGTAAAAGCTGAAGATGTGATCGAGGCCAAAGATAATGTAACAATTTGCGTGCAAAGTACTTCAAAGTGCTTCACAAGAGCAAGTACAAACACAGATCAAAAAGGCCAAGAGACATACAAAAGATTCATATAAACCTCTTATTACAATGACTCCCATTGTAAACAGCAGTGTTGGTTGTAGAAGCCCCTATTTGCTTCTTATGAATATTTGCAAGTTTATAAAATCATTCCCAATATCCTGCTTGCGTAGCGCTGCTGTAGTGCTGTGGTCTTTGAGTGTCCGAAATAGTGCTTTATTTTTAACGAACGGCCTCTTGGCGCCACTTGACGTCCAACACCATTTTCATTTCAAATGCAAACCCGACGCCCACGAAGACGACGCAGACATTGTGTGAACACGCTAAGTTAAATATATATATCATTATGCTATCTATCAACCACACCTTTTCATAGCTGCTCAGTAGATTGTGATGAAGGTCAAGTTCAGAGAATGGAGACAGCTGATTCCAGGCATCAATATTATTGTCTATTATCTACAACAACAACCTCGCTCTGTTACTGTATTCAGACCTGCTTTAACATTTTAATCATCATATCTCTGCAAACAGTTTATATCTGTATATAATTTCACATTCTACATGATTGTTATTTAATAAAATACACACAAAAATCACGTCTTAAGAAAATTATCAGTGTTAACATTAAACAGTCTATGGTATTAACCTACATATAGCTAGCTCAGGCGAACGTTAGCTGAGATTAGCTTAGCATGATTAGCAACTAACCAGAACAGAACAAAACTCAACAATTGCATGTAGCAGAATATCTATCATTACGTTTGCATTATACGAAACCACAGAGAAGCTGTTAACACATGTTTTAGCAATTACTTAGCACTTTTTACAGCTTTTATCCATAGAGAGTTCATCTTACGTTTGCTGCCGTACAAGATGGCGGAGCTTTCGCCGCAAAACAAAGCGGCAAACACACGAGCACGCGGCGTATGGTCTTAAAGCTGGGGTACGTAACTTTAGAAACACAAACATTTTAGAGTAAAAAAAATCAATTTCAGTTGCTCCTGGTTTGCTTCTACCACTAGTTTCACAGCTTTTCAGACAGAAAAGTGAAAAAAGAGAGAGACCAGAGGGGGACCAGAGAAAGAGACCATAGTCTAAATATAACATGTTTTCTGTTAAGATGAAGACCGCATCTTGTGTGTGTGTGTTTGTGTGTGTGTGTGTGTGTGTGTGTGTGTGTATGCTTTGACAATTGGATTCTTTAATTCTTTAATTTGAACATTTTTAATTGATTTCTAAATGTTATTTAAAGTAAATGAGCTGGAAACCTGTTGTAATTATATGTTTTTCAGATGGAGAAAGAGCAGAGGTTCCTCCCATATGTTTGGACAGTCATGGTGAGTCCATGTTTGTGTTCATCAGAGCCAAAACACTGATGACAGCAGATTCTTTTTGGTCTCTGTCGCTCTGGTCTCTCTCTGTTCTCTCTCATGGTCTCTCTCATTGGTCTCTCTCTGTTCTCTCTCATGGTCTCTCTCATTGGTCGCTCTCTGTTCTCTCTCATGGTCTCTCTCATTGGTCGCTCTCTGTTCTCTCTCATGGTCTCTCTCATTGGTCTCTCTCTGGTCTCTCTCTCTGGTCTCTCTGATACATTTGCTGCTGTTTGTGGGGAAGTGACCACAGGAAATAGGATCCATTCTTTGAGTCTTGAGAGAAAATGTGAATTTGAGGACTCCAGCTGGTTGTTGTTGTTGTGGTTCATAATGGCAGGCATCAATGATTTATGGTGTGTGTTTTATGGTGCAGATGCAGAGCAGCTGACAGTTGTGGTCAAATGTTTTACAGAAAATACAATCACGCGGCTGTTTTAACAAACGCCCATTCTGCCTTCATGAAGAAGTCCTTTTACAGTCTGGTTTTCTCTCTGGTCTTTCTGGTCACTCTCTCGTCTCTCTTTATGTTCTCGCTTTGGTCTCTCGTCTGGCCTCCCTCTGGTCTCTCTCACTGGTCTCTCTCTAGTGAAATTGTTTAGTAATTAGATCGATACATTCAGCTGTGAGACTGATACAAAAGTGTGGATGTGCTTTCTCTCTGAGGAATAGCTTTGACTAGGGCTCTTCAGAGAGATTAGGTAACTTTACAAAAGCACAATGACAGCACAACGAAAGAGCTTTACTGACCATTTGTGACTGGGAGGGAGAATTGACGCGCTAAACTTGGGCCTTTTTTATATGCTTTATTGATTCACAAAAAAGGAACAAGAATACTTTGCTCATTGAGCTGATAAAAGCAGTAAAAAACTGTGTGCTCACTGTGTGGTCGGTGAGTGGCTGGCGGGACTGCGGCCCGGTCCCAGGACAGAGAAGAGCGGAGGCCAGTGGGGACGGACGAGCGACTCTGGGCTTTTATCATTTTTTTAATGGACCTTTTGTAAACATTTTATTAAATTTTATCCCCTTTTTATCCTCTTCCTGTTTTATTGATCACACCCCCGAAACAGACTCTTTTAAACCTGTGTCAATAACACATCCACAACCACACACCCATGCTACGCCCTTGTGTAAACATCTGGTGAACTCCATCTCAGCCACAGTCAAACTCAAGCCTCGCGCACCGGAAATTGAGTGTCGTTATAAATAAAACGTGGAAAGTGGTGCATGCATAGAGCCCATAGCATCATAAGCTACATTCAGTTTGTATTTATATATATATATATATATTATATATAAATAGATATAGATAGATGGAGAGAGAGAGCCAAAATCTACATTATTTGGGGAAAGTAACTTCAAAGTGATGCAGTTGTAGAGTAATGCTTTACTCTGTGTGTTTGATAGAAGTGGAAGAACGACTTCATCTGGTGGAACAAAGAGGACTTCTGTGGTATCAGCGAGGTGTCGGTTCCCATAGAGGTTCTGTGGAAGCCGGACATCTCCATAGAAGAGATGTAACTCTCACACACACGTGTCTCTCTCTGGCCTCTCTCGAGTCTCTCTCTCTCTGCTCTCTCTCTGGCCACTCTTTCTGCTCTCTCTCTGGCCTCTCTTTCTGGTCTCTCTCTCCAAAGACATAAGCATGTGAAAACTAATGATAGAACTGTTTTAGAGACAGGCTTGTGTGGACATAGATTGAAACACAGTCCACATGAGCATGTGTAAGGTGTTTTTGTGTGGTTGTGTGGTGGTTGTGTGGTCAGGGTGGAGAAGGACAAGGCTCCTCACAGTCCTTTCCTCCTGATCCGCTCAAACGGAGAAGTGGAGCTGCAGAGCGACCAGGTGCTGGTGATCACCTGCCGCATGAAGGTCTACAAGTTTCCCTTCGACACTCAGAGATGCAACCTGTCCTTCAAGAGCATCCTACACGAAGGTCTCTCACTATGGTCTCTCTATAGTCTTTCTCCAGTCTCTCTATGGTGTCTCTCTGGTCTCTCTATGGTTTCTCTCTGGTTTCTTTTTGGTCTTTCTCTGGTCTCCCTCTGGTTTCTCTCTGGTTTCTTTTTGGTCTCTCTCTCTGGTTTCTTTTTGGTCTCTCTCTCTCTGGTCTCGCTCTAGTCTCTCGAGTCTCTCTCTGGCCTCTCTAGACCCTAAACAAACTGTGCTTGATGGTCCCAGTGAAAGACATTCAGCTGGTACCCAAAGCCTCCTCTCGAAAAGTCACTCTGAAGTCCAAAGAGGTGATGATGACGGAGTACGAGTGGCTCTTTGAGAAGATCACAGTCAAGAACTTCACCACATTTGAAAACCAGGACAAGGTTGTCTACACGGTACGTAGCATCTGTGGGGAGACAGACCAGAGTGAAAGACTGGCGAGAGAGACCAGCCATTCAACTCTTGCCCCCAAAGTGAAAAATTTGTTCCCTGAACCAGCTGGTGTCTGCTTGTGGTTCCTTCATGGTAGGTGACCATGAGGCGGCGCTCTCTGCTCTACGTGATGAACTTCCTTCTCCCAGTGCTCTTCTTCCTGTGTCTGGACCTGGCCTCGTTCCTGATCTCTCACGGAGCAGGAGAGAAACTCACCTTCAAAGTCACCGTTCTCCTCGCAGTCACGGTTCTTCAGCTGATCCTCAACGAGATCCTGCCCGCCTCTTCCAACCGCATCCCCCTCATCGGTACTCTACTCTGCTCTGCTCTGCTCTGCTCTGCCACAGAACAGGACACATAGGACCATGATCGGTCCTCGGGCCTCAGTTTGGCCATGTCTGGTCTATATACTGGGTCAAAATAACCGGTCTAAACCGGTCTGGTCTAAACACCCTGTGTACATGCCTGGTCTAAATGCTAGGGAATAAACACCCTTTCTATTTACTACAACAACAACAACAGCAACTTATTCTTGTATAGCCCTAAGTCACAACAGAAGTCCTCCCAGAGGACTTAACAAAACCATTGAAATCACCAACACAGATCAGAGAATCAACAGTAAAGACACATAAAGAATATAGAGCACATGGTGAAAAATGTCCATACATGTTGTAGAATGTTAAAGTGTCCTGGATCATGACTGACTGTCCAACAGACCCTCCTGCATCCGCAAGAAAAAACTCAAAAAACCCAGTGGGAAAAAAGTGAGAAACCTCGGGGAGACCCACATATTGAGAGAGGGATCCGCTCCACACGGACGGACGGGATAATGATCCAGGACCTAAGCTACAGAACGAGGACCAAGCAGCCGCAGAGCGTAGACAGGTCCGGTGCAGGACTGAAGCGCTCCCAGGCGGGTCGGGCAGGGCAGTCCGCAGGTGCACATGGAGGGGGGCAGGGCAGTCCGCAAGTGTAGATGGAGAGGGCCGGTTCACAGGTCCTGTTGTTGCGCCATGAAACAGACAATGGGACAACGGGTGAATAGCAATGAACACACTACAGTCAAAAATAATTTACGAGGTGTAAATGCCCAGATGAAATGTCCGGTCTCAATACCCAGTCTAAATACCCGGTCTAAATGCTTGGACTAACTGCTTGGTCTAAATACACAGCCTAAATGTCTGATCTAAATACCCGGTCTAAATACCCGGTCTAAATGCTTGGTCTAAATGCACGGTCTAAATACACGATCTAAATGCCCAGTTCCCTCACTCAGTCAATGCTAACTCTTTGACAGCAATCTACTGCATCGGTATCTTCGCCATGATGCTGTTGAGTTTGCTGGAGACCATCGTAGTCATGTACCTGATGAAGAAGGACCTTCACCCAGAGACACCCAAGGAGGAGAAGGAGGAGGAGGAGGCTGGCTGTGTCACAGAGGACACCAGGGACCACAACATGTTCAGCCACATCTTCCACAGAGGTAAAATCTCTCTGATCTCTCTCTGGTCTCTCTCTGGTCTCTCTCTGGTCTCTCTCTGGTCTCTCTCTGATCTCTCTCTGGTCTCTCTCTGGTCTCTCTCTGGCCTCTCTCTGGTCTCTCTCTGGTCTCTCTCTAGTCTCTCTCTGGTCTCTCTCTGATCTCTCTCTCTGCTGTTATGTTTAGGTCATAACCATCACAGCTCGACTGGAGAGACGCAGTCTGGCCTCATGGACGAGATGCACTTCCACCAAAACACCGGCTACAGCACCCAGCTCACCCTCACCGTAAGAGCGTGTTGTTTGGACCTGTGTCAACATTTCACCACAAGGAAGACGGCTCAGTGCACCCAGGATCAGAGAGAGAACAGATGGAGACCAGTTATAGACCAGAGAGAAAGACCAGAGAGAGACCAAATAGAGAGAGAGAGAAATGTTCTGGTCTCTCTTTCCTCTTTCATTAGGCCCGAGCCCCAACTGGGGTAAGGGCCTATTGCTTTTCCAACGAGTAATGCCTGGGCTGTCATCAGCAGGTCATAATCTCCGGGCTGCGCCTGGACATTCGTCCACCAAGCCCAACGGCGCGTGCCCAGACACTGATATAACAGTGCCGGAGGAAAGACCTGCTGATTCACCCTCGCTGTGTGAAGGAGAGGAGAGAACCCAATAGTTGCGTTTGTCTGGTCGTTCGCTTTAAAACGACGTATCATTTGTATTATAGGTTACTATGGAAACCTATATTGTTTTTGCTCAAAGATTTACAAAAAAAATTCCTTGGTTTGGTTTAGTTATTTATTTTGTTCTTTCTTCTACACTTTGAACCTTAATTTGACCCCCTGAACATTGATTAAAAGTTGTGATTTTTTTTTTTGGGACTAAAAAAAGAACAGAACAGCGCCCCCTACAAAAGTCAGTTTACATTGCGCCTATGGGAGGAGGTCGGAGGTCAAGTTTGTCGTAGAGCCATGAAACTTGGTACACATGTTCCTCAAGTCAAGACATGAAAAAAAAGTTATTATGGCTCCGCCCCCTGGCAAACAGGGAGCTCATTAATTTCAATGGGAAATGAAAAAATGAAAATTGATATTTTTCACACATGTCGGTTGGAAATGATCTCCTCCTCGGCCGTTTCACCAATTTGTCTCAAAATCGCTCCACATGGTCTAAACACATGTACCATCAATTATTCAATATAGAATTTGGATCAGTTAAACGTTGTCCGAGCAGCGGAGCGGCAAACATTTTTAAAATTTTTGACTAAAGTAAATTTGCTTCCGTTTGCACAAACAAAGCCTGATTTGCACCAAATTTTAATTCCATTGTTCAGCTCCAGGGTCTAGGTCATTTGAAAGTGTAAATATTGAAATTGGCTCATTAGCGCCCCCTACAGACTATGTCAAAATTTTACATGAGCCTAATAAAATTTAGTTTTTTCAAAATGTTTGAAATTTTGAAAATAATTCTGTTTTGTCATCCGGATTCAAAAAGTCAATGACAACATATGATTATTTTTTACCCTGTTGCCGTGGCGACGACAAACACTCCCCTGTCTGTGTCTATCGGAAAATCGTTAAATCTCTGAAAAGTACACCTCGCTCAAACATCAAACCAGCCTCGGCCGTTTCACTAATTTGTCTGAAAATTGCTCCACATCGACTCAACACATAGACCATCAATAGTTGAATATAGAGTTTGAATTAGTCAAACGGTCTGAGCGTGACAGACTCCCAAAGTGTGGTTATTTTCATAGAGAGGTGTGAAGTTCCCATGTTATCCAATGGAGACTGTATGGACACACTCACAGATTGTATGTGCAAACAGCACATTTACAAACTCTGATTTGCACTAAACTTGACTCCGTTGTTCAACTCCTGGGCCTAGGTCACATGACAGTGTGAACAATGACATTGTCCTATTAGCGCCCCCTACAGGCTGAGTAAAGATTTACATAGGGATAAAGGTATTTGGGTTTTCTGTTGTTTGATCTCATATTTGACCCACTGAACAAACACAACAACTCAGCAAACTTTGCCACAAGTTTTTTTCAGGCTTGAAGTGTATTATTTTTGTGTTCTTTGGTGAAACACAAACAAATTGAAATTGTAGGGGGTGCTATTGTACAACATAAATTCCACCATTTTCACATACAAAGTCCCATTTGCACAAAATTTGAATTGATTGTTCAACTCTCTCGGGTTTGGGTAAACTGAAAGTGTAAACGACAAAATTGCAACAATAGCGCCCCCTAAAGACTGAGTCAAATATTACATGGGGAGAATGAGGTTTACCTTTTCAAAGACACACACAATCACTGATCACAGGCATTTAAAATGCACAGTGTCGCTCCCATCAGGGCGGTAGGAAAATGGCGCGTCAGCGCCACCTCGGTTGCGTTGTGCGGCGAGGGCCGTTCGACGCCGCTTGCGGCTTTAATTTATAATTGTTACTGTTACTTAATCACAAAAATATGACCCCTCTTCCCCCTCAGGACCCGTGTAAAGACCCGGACCAGGGGGACAATCTGAAGGTGATCCTGGACGAGCTGAGGAGAGTGGAGCAAGGTCTGCGTCACCTCAGAAATCCTGACGCGGCCGGATGCTGGACCATCTTCGCCAAGAGGCTCAACAAGGTCTTCTTCACCGTCTATGTCGCCGTGGTGACCGCATTCTTGATCTATGTGTATCTGGAGTGGGTGAAGTAAGACTGAGCAGGGGGTACTTAAAGCTGGGGTATGTAACTTTAAAGACACAACAAGAGAGACCAGAGAGTGTACAGAGAGAGACAAGAGAGCCCTTTCTTACACATGTTGTTAAATAAGATGAAGGCTGAGTTTACACGGAGAAATGTCGCAGTAAAACGGTATAGTTGGATGTCTGTTGCTACCAACCGTTCATACGGAGACTGTGTTTCAGGGGGTGAAAACGTAAGTGTTCAGATCCGCTAGAACTACATCGTTTTTCAACCTCATGTGAACGCAGAGAAATTTGCATTAGGAGTCTGGTCGTTTCTGTTAATAGCCTGGAAACGTCTGCGCAGCGTCTCAGTATAAACAGGGCCGAAGACAGCAGGTTGTGGTCTGATTTGTTCACAACATTTTACTTACTTACTTTCTTGATGAAAGTTAGGTACCTCAGCTTTAATGTGTCGATGACGTCAGTGAAACACACTGTAAACATAAATTTTACTCACTTATAGTAAAATCTAAATTATATATATAAATATATATATATATATATATATATATATATATATATATATATATATATTATATATGTGAATAACAACCCCTGTGCAGCTTAAGGCCTTTAACACCAGGACTCTTCAAATCAATTTGGGAGAAAACTTGAGTTTGTTTTCCACCCGTTTCATTTAAAGTCATTTATCAGGTGTTTTACCTCTACCTATACAACTTATACAGTAAAAACATTTTGAACCAGTCCAGATCATGGATCTATAATAATAACGGTCCAGATCCAGTCCAGAGAACTGGTCCTGCTTCGGGAGTTCCGGTGTTTGTGGCCAGCAGAAGGCGCACACATGATATATTTGTATTGTTAGTCACAAGTGTTAAATGTACGTGATGATAAAGTGTCAGAAAATGTCAAATGTATAAATGGTTCATGATGCAATCAATAAACTGTTGTTCGTCACTGCCCCCTGCTGCCGGACATCAGTACTGCACGAGCGCTTTTGTGTGTGACGTCATGCGAAATAAACTCATCTGGACCGAAAGAACATCTGTGGTGTTTTAATATTACATGTGTTGCTATTGTCCTGAGAGAGAGACCAGAGATACCAGAGAGAGACCAGAGAGAGATGTGTGCCGACAAAGAAGACATGGAGCTTTGAGACCGTTTTTGTCTCATGTGGATTGTTTCATGAATTAGAGAGAAAATTATACTCTAGACTAGATTCTGAATATGAACAGTTACCATAGTTTCCTCTACCACAATGTGAAACTAAATGTTATCATGTGTAATGTATGTATTATTAATATATCATCGTCGCATCTTCCATTTCCGCGTTGCGTCTCATGACGTCACCTCCCTTAGTAACGGTCCGCGGCGTCTCCAGGAGCGAAGGCGACAACAAGATGGTGAGTCGAGCTTAAACCGCGAATTCTACATTTTAACTCCGCATTTGAGCTCTACAAAAAATCTCATTATCTCACAACAAGCGTGTACGGACTCCAAACCCGTTCACGCCAAAATATGACGTTATAGTTCGTGACTATTTGAGAGAGAGAGCGAAGGCTGTTGCTTGGCTCTGTCTATTTGTGATTAGCTTGTTAGCATTAGCTTTAGCTTTAGCGCGGCTCTGTTATTACCAGGCCGTGTGGGTGGACTTTTGAGTCGGTAATGTCATGACAAGTGGGCGAGGCTGACTGCACAGCTGTGGCGAGGAGTGGTACCCGGCTCTAGAGGGGTTTAACCCCGGTATAATTCAACAGATGAGCCGCGAGAGGCCCATTGGTGGAGGATGAGAAGACAGCGGTGTCTCTGTGTCTGTGCAAGCATCACATGATGAAAGCAGAGAGGACTAAAGGAGGACTGAACTGGGACTAAAGCATAACTGAACCAGAACTAAAACGGGACTGAAGCTGGACTGAAGATAAGATAAAAGATCCTTGATTCGTCCCACACTGGGGAAATTTCAGTTCTTATTGTACAGTCTGACAGCAGCAGGAAAGAAAGACCTGCTTATTCTGTCACTGAAACTGCTTTCCAGAGCAGACAGAGTGTCCTGCAAGGAGTGACCATCGAGAACTCCAGCATAGATGTTAGTTTGTCCAGGACCCTCCTGTCCCCCACCTGCTGCACTGTGACTGTGTCCAGGGAACAACCCAGGACAGAGCTGGACTTCCTGATGACCTTGTCCAGCTCCTTCCTGTCCCTCGCAGGACTGAAGCAGGACTAAAGCGGCACTGAACCTGGTCTCAAGGAGGACTGAACCAGGACTGAATCAGGACAAAAGGACCCCATTTCAAGTCTTGATTGAGGCTAAACCAAGAATAAACCAAAGCTGAGGACCAGTTCAGGTCTGAACCAGGAATGACCCTGGTCTTGTTTTTCCTCAGGGATTATTGTCCATTCTTCGTAAGCTGAAGAGCACTCCGGACCAGGAGGTGAGGATTCTGCTCCTGGGACTCGACAACGGAGGAAAGACCACAGTCCTGAAGCAGCTGGCATCAGAGGACATCAGCCACATCACACCCACACAGGTACACACACACACACACACGTCATCACAGCATTCATTCAGTGATGAAAAAACTCTATAACACATTTATACTCTGCTCTCTCTCTGGTCTCTCTCTCCGTTCTCTCTTTGCTCTCTTTCTGGTCTTTCTCACTGTTTTCCTGGGACACTTCAATTTCTTCTTTTATTTGAAACTCTCTGTTTTGTTCAAGGGTTTCAACATCAAAAGCGTCCAGTCTCAAGGCTTCAAGCTGAATGTGTGGGACATCGGGGGCCAGAGAAAGATCCGGCCGTACTGGAGGAACTACTTTGAGAACACAGATGTCCTGGTCTGGTTCTGTTCTATCTCTGCTCTCTCTATTATCTCTGCGCTCTCTCTGCTCTTTAGCTGCTCTCCCTGCTCTCTCTCTCTGTTCTTTCTCTACTCTCTCTCTGCTGTCTCTCCTCTCTCTTTGCTCTCTCTGTTCTCTCTGCTCTCTAGCTGCTCTCCCTGCTCTCTCTCGCTGCTCTTTCTGATGACGTTTACAGGGCTCAGAATCACCTCTAAACGCTGCTTCTGTTTCAGATCTATGTGATCGACAGCGCAGACCGAAAGAGGTTCGAGGAGACCGGGCAGGTGAGGCCACAACCAACTTTTACTGTTATAATTAGTTATGTTTCAAGCCTTACAAGAATGATGGAGGAGTAGACCTGCTTTAGAACCTCATCAGTCAAGAATAGACAGGAATAACAGGAGCTAGCATTTTCAAATCTTTATACAATGGTGTCGTGTTCAGAGCTGTTTTCTGTCTTTAAACCAAAAGTATTATCGCTCTCTCCCACCCTTTTCCTCACCATCTCTTCCCCTCCGCCTCTCAGGAGTTGGCAGAGCTTCTGGATGAGGAGAAGCTGAGTGGAGTTCCAGTCCTGATCTTTGCGAACAAACAGGACCTGCTGACAGCAGCTCCAGCTGCGGAGATCGCAGAGGGACTGAACCTACACACCATCAGAGACCGGGTCTGGCAGATCCAGTCCTGCTCCGCCCTCACAGGGGAGGGCATCCAGGTGAGACCAGGGGAGACACCACGGGAGACACCAGGGGAGGGCATCCAGGTGAGACCAGGGGAGACACCAGGAGCATCCAGGTGATCTCTAGAGTCTCTCTCTGGTCTCCGGAGAGGGAGCCTTAGAAACGGCAACCACAAGGAAGACAGCAGGCACGCAAATTACCCACTCCTGACTCTGGTCTCTCTCTCCAGTCTCTCTATTTGGACTTTCTCTAGTCTCTCTCTCTCTCTGGTCTCTAAGATAAGATAGACTTTATTGATCTCACACTGGAGATTTCTAGTCTCTCTCTCTGGTCTCTCTATCTATGGTCTCTCTATCTCTGGTCTCTCGCTAGTTCTTCTCTGATCTCTCTCTGGTCTCTCGGGTCTCTTGCTAGAGTCCCTCTCTTATCTCTGGTCTCTTTCATATTTGTGTTCTGTTGTGTTCCCTCTCAGGATGGGATGAACTGGGTTTGCAAAAGCGTGAACTCAAAGAAGAAGTAGCGCCACCTGTGTCCAGGAGAGGAACTGCAGCCGAATGTACCACTACTGCGCGGAATAATGTACTGTACTAATACACTACACCAGGACCATGGACAGCACCATGGACTGCACCATGGACCACACCAGGACCATAGACAGACCCACAAAACAAAGGGAATATATATACATACACACACATTTTCTATATATATGTGTGTGTGTGCATACGTATACAAATATAAAGACGGTGTCCTGTGTCCTAAAGTTTATGGTTCTCTCTCACAAAACCTGAAGCTCCATTCCCACTGTTGCTGCTTTTGGAAGTCTGTCATCCGCATGTCTCAGGCCTGTGATGTCACATGAGTCCTGAAATTATCTAGAGTCCTCAAATTATGAGGAGCAACACAGCTGCTGCAGGAGGACCACTTACATTTTGGTTCAATCTCATCAACAACTTGTCCACATCATGTCCACAAGTTGCATCAGTCTTAGTTTAGACCCCGTTCTGTCCTAGTTCAGACCTGGTCCAGTCCTGGTCCAATCCTGGTTCTGTCCTGGTTCAGTCCATTTCAGAACTCAGCTGAGCTCTATATTTTTGTAAGTTATTTCTGAGGTAGAGCTTGATTCTGTGGAGAAGCTGTGTGTGAATATGTACAGACTGAAGAGAGGTTTATGGTGTAAATATGTGTCTCTGTGCTTTAGGATTTCTTTAGGTTTCTCTGCTTTTATCGTGTTTATGTTGAAATAGGGACTTAGACTTTTGATATTTTGCAATGTTTCTGTCAGAATTTAAAGAAATGTCAATAAAGAGATTATTACAAATTCAATTGTTTGTTTTTGGTGCAACATTTTTGTACTTGCACTGCTTATCTCTAGTCTCACTGGTCTCTTTCTCTCTCTGGTCTTTCTATCCGGTCTTTCTATCTGGTCTCATTGCCTTGTCAGACCTGAGACTACCTGGAGCTCATGTCAGCTGGTCTTGACATTAGGACCTGAGGGAGACGGAGCAGAGGAACATGTGGAGGAGACAGAGAGGATCAATTGTAATAAGCTGTCACCACTTTTGCACACCTTTCTGGAAATAATGAGACTAGCGAGACATCAGAGAAAGAGACTAAATAGATAAGAGAGATCCATCATAGACCAGAGAAAGAGAAAGCGGCCACCAGAGGGCGTCACGCATGCTACACATTGCATGATTACCCAATGGATAACGTTTAAAGAAGTTTTTCAGTAGTAGTTGTAATAGTAGCGGTGGAAACGGCATCTGAACGTCAATAAAAGCCTCATTTCCGCCCGGTGTATTGACCGCGCAGGTTAAAACATGATTACATTACTTTTTCCACCACGTCTTCGCTGTAACCTCCCACTCGTGTTTAAACAGACCCCTGGCAAACACATGGCTCCGTTGTGGATCATCAAACGTGCGGGCGTGAAGCAGCGTGCGCGCCCCCGATGACAGCTTAACTGTTCCGTGTGTTTCCAGGGGCGGCGCCTTGGGGAGAGGTGCAGGGCAGGGACGTGCAGTCAGGGGAGGCAGGGGAGGCAGAGCCTCACCTGCCATTATTGGAAACTAATAATTATTTTAGTTTAAATATATAATTTATATCCACTGTCCTATGCTTTTAATGTATATTCGGCACGGTTCCCATCAGTTTTGATCATTTCTGAAGTCAAAATCGCCGAAATCCCGTTATTCCTATTCAAAGAGACGAGGTGAGGCAGCGCTCCTGCGTGCCTCACCCCAGACCGCTCCCTCACAGTGTGTGTGTGTGTGTGTGTCTGAGTGCACTCAGCTCGTGCAGTTGATATATCACCGTTTGTTTCAAATATCCTGCTTTAAAAACATTTTTTAAACTCCTCTTAGTGTTTAGTAGTGTATTGCACGTATGTGTGTACAATTTATATTTAGTTTAAGTCTTTTGATCGTAGATGAACACACAAGGAAAAAGCTTGGCGTGAGGCAGGCGGTATCTGTGCCTCACCGCTAGGGGTGATAGTGAGCATAAAGTTCATACCAGAGTTGCTAACAAACAATCAGCCCAAAATGCTATTTCTTTTGCTGGAAAATGGATGATTTGAATGAAGATTTTTTTTCTCAATTGGACTTTCAAACAAAGAAAGAATTAATATAGACTGGGAGACCACCACTGGACTTACGAGGTTAGTCCGGCTGCGGGGGAGGAGTTTGTTAATCTGTGTTTTATGTTGAACATTGACAGATACCGGCAAAGTAGTGCTTTTCCGAAAAACACTGATTCAAACACTGCTCAAGAGTTCTGCAACTTGTTTAAATTATTGTTTATGTTCCTCGCGTCTCTCTCTCCTCGCGTCTCTCTCTCCTCGCGTCTCGTCTCTCTCTCTCTGCTCTCTCGCGTCTCTCTCGTCTCTCTGCTCTCTCTCTCTCGCGTCTCCGTCTCTCTGCTCCTCTCTGTCTCTCTCTGCTCCTCGCGTCTCCGTCTCTCTGCTCCTCTCTGTCTCTCTCTGCTCTCTCTCTCTCTCTCGCTCTCTCTCTCTCTCGCTCTCCGTCTCTCTCTCTGCTCCTCGCGTCTCCGTCTCTCTGCTCTCTGCTCTCTCTGCTCTCTCTCTCTCTCTGCTCTCTCTCGCGTCTCCTCTCCTCGCGTCTCTCTCTCCTCGCGTCTCTCGCACCTGCGCTTCTTAAAGATGTTGTTTGATGCGGAGCAGAGTCAGCAGCTAGATTTGTTGTGAGATTATTAAAAGAAGCTGGTTCTCTTATCTTTACAGTATATAAAGTTTGTGGATGTCATTGCATTGGTGATTAAATGCTATTTTATTTGAATAATGATTGTAAATCTGACTTTTAAAGTCAGTGCCTCCCCAATCACAAACCTCACCGCACGTCCCTGGTGCAGGGAGCTCACGGGCCCGAGCTTCCCCATCCTCAATAATTGTATTGTGTTCACGCAGCTAAAATAACAAAGACATGAATTTGCTTACTGCCATAGGAGCTCAGAGTTTTACTGCTATAAAGCTGGGGTGCGTAACTTTCAAAACGCAACAAGCGAGATGATGGAATCAAATGTCTCTTGTTCCTGGAAGTTGTTTTCGGCTCCCAAACCAGAGAGAGACCAAGAGTGAGATCAGAGATCAGAGAGTGAGACCAGAGAGAGACCATCATGCATTTCTGGCCTCTGTCACATCTTTGGCTCTGCTTTTTCAGACAGAAAAGTGAACCTTTATATTTCATATTATTTCTACATCTTCCAGTCGTGGTTGGAACAAACAATAAAAATAAAAAAACAACACTTTTCTTTCCACTTTTTATTCGGAGCTGTCTCCAAATTTTCTTCCATTTCACAAAATATTTACAAAAAATTACCTTGTTTTTTCTCCTTTCTCCACAAACTTCTCTTCTGCTTCCGTTGCATCCACCACAAGTTTAATGTTACAAAACGTGAATGCAAAACTAAACGTCTTTTTCCTCCTGCGTTTAAAGTGTTTGTTTTTAAATCCAGAGATTCCAGAGAGCGGCTTATGTCTGTTTTTAAATGTGCTTTGCTGCAAAAAGGAAGTAAACCGTTAGCATCACAGCGTCCAGATGCTAACAGCTAGTCCGAGTTCCTCCAACCAAAGTCATTTTTCCAACGGAAATCTTATTTTGAAAGGGAAGCAACAGGAAGTCCCCATTTTGTTGGAAGGGAAACGCATGGATCTATTATATTAACTGGATAGGGTATTACTAGCTTGTAGCTGAATAACTCATGTGCTCGGGGGATTCTCGCGGTACTGCAGACTGAACCAGACTAAATTCACGCGGGCTACCCAGAAATTTTCCCCATAGAACTCAATGCATATTAAAACAGCTCAACCTCAGCTGACAGAGAACCTACAGCTTTAATAAAGATCGGATTTTGTGGGGATGTTAGTGTCCCTTGTCATCCTGAACTTTTTTTCTTCTTAAATCCTTCGGTTTTGTTTAAATCCACACTTTAGTGCCACAAACTCTGCTCCTCTGGCTCTCGCTCTAACTCCCGCTCTGATGAACTGCTCTGATTGGTCAGAGCGCGGCCGAGCCCCTCTGTGCACGTGCGTGAGACCTGGTGTGAGACCCACACACGCGTGTTTGGCGCAATGCATTATGGGAGATCATCCACCGCGCAGAACCGGGAGGACCAGACGATGCCCAAATACAGGCGAGTTTCCCATAGATCTTTGCGAGTTTCAGGCAACTTCCGCTAATCTTTCAGCCCCCATGCTGTCACAAAGCGCCACTGAGCACAACCATTCATTTGAATAGGGCGCCATCTTGGATCGCCGGGGCTTGGGGAAACGGCATGAACAAACCAAAAAACATTTTTTTTAAACGTATAATTTCAGTTTTGGTTTCGTCAAAAACGTCAAGTCCAGACGACAGAATCCAGAACCAGGCGTCAGGTTTTTGAGAAAGACATTGAGGAAAATGGAAGAGCGATTTTTATATTATTCATTCAAGCCATTTCAGCCCCATTTCCACCAGCCCTACTCTACTCTACCTGGTTGTGTTTCTATTAGTATGTGGTACTGTATCCTAGCAACCTACCCACAACAAACCAGTATATGTGGAAATTCCTTGGTAACCATGGCTTCCAGCAGCACTCTGGCCAATCACTGTCAGTTAGAAAACGTTAGTACCAGCTCGGCCTGGATAGAACCAGGACCAAGATGGACTAAAGAAGGACCTGGTACTGGTTCCACAGGACCAGAGGAAACAACAGTGGAGGAGAGGGTAGGGTAGAGTAGGGCTGGTGGAAACAGGGCTCTTGACAAAGGAAGTGCTGAAATCTATTTGGACGAGCCCCAATTCTCCAAACACACACAGTCTCTCTCCCTCTCACGCAGACACATAACATACACTCTCGAACATTTAGGGAAGAGGGTCTCGTCCGTTGAAGTTAAATCTGTCGGCCATTTTGAAACAAGATTAAACCGTAAGAAAGACTCAAAACATAGAAAGACAAAAAAACAGATATATATATCCAATCCTCTTGGTAAATCATAAATAAGAACAGTGTCTAAAGCAGATCTAAACATCAACAACAGTAAGAATGCAACAGTAAAACCATAAGTGAGGAGTTGTACCCTGCCCCCGAGTCACAGAGACCTAACTCAGTCGCCGCGTGTGTGCTCTTATTTGGTGATTAACAGTCGACAGAAGTCTGGGGAAAATGTAGTTATTTTATCGACCTGTGTGGCGGCCATTTTGTGTCAACTCAAATGCAACAAGCAACTCTCTACTTTCTCAACTGTTTCAACTTTGAGTTTTCCATTTTGAGTTAAACTAAAATAGATTAAGACTATAGCCTGTGTAATGATTGGTGATCGATAAATAGATCATTGTTCAAGTATATGGATAATTGTAAAAAAAACTTGTTTCAAGGACCTGTGTGGCAGCCATTTTGGGGCTCAGCTCAACACCAGCAACACATTTGAACTGTTTGATTGAGATGTTCCTATTTTAAGCTAGGATAGCGCTTTAATTTAAACCATTGAATGTACATTAGGAGTGGACTGAGCGCGACACCACCATAGTCACTGATTTGAACATAATCTAGCTGGAGTCAATTTTCTTATATGGGAAGCTGTTCTTACCATGGATGTATTATAATAACTGGATAGGGTATTACTAGCTTGTAGCTGAATAACCCACGTGCTCAGGGGATTCTCGCGGTACTGCAGACTGAACCAGACTAAATTCACGTGGGCCACCCAGAAATGTTCCCCATAGAACTCAATGCATATTAAAACAGCTCGACCTCAGCTGACAGAGAACCTACAGCTTTAATAAAGATCGGATTTTGTGGGGATTTTAGTGTCCCTTGTCATCCTGAACTTTTTTTCTTCTTAAATCCTTCGGTTTTGTTTAAATCCACACTTTAGTGCCACAAACTCTGCTCCTCTGGCTCTCGCTCTAACTCCCGCTCTGATGAACTGCTCTGATTGGTCAGAGCGCGGCCGAGCCCCTCTGTGCACGTGCGTGAGACCCGGTGTGAGACCCACACACGCGTGTTTGGCGCAACGCATTATGGGAGATCATCCACTGCGCAGAACCGGGAGGACCAGACGATGCCCAAATACAGGCGAGTTTCCCATAGATCTTTGCGAGTTTCAGGCGACTTCCGCTAATCTTTCAGCCCCGTCACAAAGCGCCAGTGAGCACAACCATTCATTTGAATAGGGCGCCATCTTGGATCGCCGGGGCTTGGTTCTTACGCGGTTAGCTTTGCATCGTAGCAGGGGCAGCGGTGTTGCTAAGGCAAGCTGAATGAAGGCATCTGATCAGTCAATCCTTATATGGCTAACATCTGCATTTACAAAGACAATATCACAATGTAAACACTAGGATAACAGAGATTGATAAACCAGAAATGTATGCCCACAATGGCAAGTGTGACACTAATAGATACATACATGTAGTTTTACATGTATGTCAAGACGCCGGAGAGCACTTCCCTGTAAGCATTGTCCATCTGTATACAGTCTATGTTTAAAACAGATCCTCCTTAGTTTAAACCTTGTGGTCATTACCGAAAATTCAAGATTGCCTCATTTCATTTATGTCATTTCTTTTATTAACTTTTTGTTGTTGTTAAGTCATTTTGTTTTTGGGATACATGGACCAGAGGCGTTTGGATTTTTGTGGGCGGCCATTTTTGAAAAAACTCCAAAAACTTGCCTTTTGTTTAACTTGCAGGAACAAAGCAAAGTTTATCTCAGCAGTTGCGTAGAAGAGTTTGTGTGTTTGACGTGTAAGTGCATAGGTTTATCTGCGTCGACTGCATATTGTACCGAAACCAAAAGTGCTCAGAAAACTTCCCCCGATGCATAAAATAACTACATTTGCTTTTGACTTTTGAGCCTCTGCAAAAGTGAACGATAATCGAGTTGAAGTGACTTGAATTCAGGATTTGTACTGGTTTCATTAACACTATCACAGTGCAGCACCCGCCGGACCACAAGCTGCTTCTTCTGTCGTGTTCTGAACTCTGCTTCTTGTGTGTATGAGCGCCCCCTGTGGGAGAACAGGTGAGGACAGCTCTATCAGCTCTATCAGTCTACCCTAAAAACAAAACACAATCATATTTCATTTTGTCTGTGTGTGGACTCTATAGGACACAGGTTTATCGTTAAAATAGTGGATTTAGCAGAGTGCATGTTTTAACAATAAATTATAACAGCTGTTGGTGACGTGTTATATCACAACATGAAATCCTGCAGCTCATGTTCAAGTGCGGCTTGAACGAGAATTTAGACAGGAGCCTGACGTCCGGCGAGTACTGTGTGAAACTGAATCATTAAGCGACAGAATCTAAGTTTGACAATAGTTTTTTTAAATCAGTTTGTGTTTTTTATGTCGACAAAAACCAGTGACCTCTGAAACCAAGTCTCGTCCGCTCACGTATCCAGCGCTTTGCAGCCAATAGAAGATCAATTGTTCCGACAGACTTTGAGTTTTAAACTTTGGCAAATTGTTGATATTTCTAAACTCCAAAAATTAGGCTTTCATTTTTTAGTTTTTATTTCATTTGCCAAATTTAGCTCTGAACCAGATTTTACTCAGTTATCAGCAGATTTTAAGATATGTTCAGTAAAGCTCAGAAATGGTAAAAGGAAGAACGTATCAATTTTGGATCCAGGATTGGAGTAAGGAATAGAACTGCGGCTCTTGGCAGGGGTCTGCCCTCTAAGAGCTTTTCCACTGCTTTTCTTAGAAACATGTTGAAAACTGAAACTCTGACGGAACAAAAGCATGACTCGTCTCCGCGTCATGTGACGTCACATGTGCACGTCTCGTCTCCGTCCTCCTGCTCCTCTGTGTTAGCGGTCACATAGTGCTGCGTTAGCTGGTCACATAGTGCTGCGTTAGCTGGTCACATAGTGCTTGGCGGCGGGCTGGCCGTAGAGCCCGTAGAAGTCCGGATGTCTGTGCGTCTGCGACGCGTCGATCCAGTCGCGCACCGCGAGCCCCTGCATGGGCGCGGTGCTGCTGAGGCCAGGGGGAGGGGGGTACTCCTGCGCACTGACCCAGGGGAAGGAGCCTGAACGCGGGTAGGGGGCATGGCCTCTGTGCCCTGACACCGAGGGCACTCCAGAGCAGTAGCAGTTATCCATGGTACACACCAGGATCTTACGGCCACCGTACTGCGACAGCTGCGAGGCGCCACTGCTGCCGCTGCTGCTGCCGCTGGCACCGGGGAAGTGGGCGGAGCTGAAGACATGGGACGAGGATGTGGCCGAGTCGTTGATGCAGGCAGGTGCCAGGCCGGGCTGTGGTGCCGTGGTCTGGGCGTCTGCGGAGGACGAGGACAGGTACGGCTGTTTGGGAGCCGAGGACGAGGACGAGTCTTTGAAGGAGGACGGTTTTGACGAGGATGATGACGACGGCTCCGGAAACGCACTCGAATGTTTACGCTTCTCTGCCGAACCACTCGAGTACGAGGTGACGGACTGAAGGAAGGCGGAGGGCGGAGTCAGAGGAGCTGCAACAGGAAGGAGGAACAGTTTATGTTAGCATTGTCCATCTGTATACAGTCTGTGGTGGGAATGAATTTGGTATTACCACTCCATCTATTGGCCAAAAAGAGAATTACAAAGAAAATTATTGTATTTTTTGCACCATTAGGCGTGGACAAAAGTCTTTAGTTTTAACAGTGTGCCTTATAATCTGGTGCGCCCTATCTGACTGTATATAGCTCTATCTCTAAACAGTTTTAATGCCAAAATATAAAAGTCTGACAAGGCCCGATGCGTCACCCGTGAATGAATGAAGCACAAATACGAGACACATGCATCTGATCACGTCCTATAACTCAAAACTAAGTTTCGGGTCTTACAGTCTTTGTGCTCATGCACTTAGTTGTACCCGCACCCAAAAAAAAAACACGGAAGAGGAAGTGCAAGCGCGTCCACTTAAATAGTCCGGGTGAAACAACATACGTTCTGGGGCTTGTGTGCACCGACGGTTCCCAGCTAACGCTAAAAACAGCGCTATGATCTCTCGCTAAAGCTACAAACCATGGATCTATAATAATAACTGGATAGGGCATTACTAGCTTATAGCTGTCCCACCAATGGGCACAGGGGACGCCCGTGGTACTGCAGACTAAATTCACGTGGGCTACCCAAAAAAATGTCCCATAGAACTCAATGTAAACTAAAACAGCTCGACCTCAGCTGACAGAAAACCTACAGCTTCATAAAGGTCGAAGTTTGTGAGGATTTTAGTGTCCCCCTTTTTTTTCTTTAATTTTCTATAAATCCACACTTCACTGCTACAAATTCTGCTCAATTTCTTCCCGCTCTCGCTCCGCTATAGCTCTGGTCTGATCAGCAGCTGATCAGACCAGAGCACACAGACTCTATCAAACACACACACACACCTGTTTGTAAAACAATGTAAATATGAAAATGTAATTGGGGTAAACTCCCACAAGTATTATACTGCGGTTTACTCCTTTTGAGCTGTGTCCATTTCTTTTTCCTTTTTGATTGTTTGTGTTTCTTTTTTCTATTGTATGTTTTATATGACTTGCTCAAATAAATTGATATCAATCAATCAATCAGCTCTGATTGGTCAAAGCGCGGCCGAGCCCCTCTGTGCATTTACATTAGAGCCCCACACACGTATTTGGCGCAATGCATCATGGGAGCTCGTCCACTGCGCAGAACCAGGAGGACCAGACGATGCCCAAATATGAGCAAGTTCCGCTAATCTTTCGGTCCCCATGGTTGTCCCATGAGCTATTGAGCACAAGCCTTGGATTTGAATACAGCGCCATCTTGGATCATCGGGGCTAGCTACAAACACATTGTTATTACTGTTACATTTGGCTAATGCTACTATAAGTCCAATAGCCAAATGGACCTTAAAACGGCCTCTATCAAGAGACATGTTTACAAAACAGATTTTAAGCTACACTATCGGTGACGCAGTTACAATTACAATTACAATTTATTCTTGTATAGCCCTAAATCACAACAGAAGTCCTCCCAGAGGACTTAACAAAACCATTGAAATCACCAACACAGATCAGAGAATCAAGAGTTAAAACACATAAAGAATATAGAACACATGTTGAGCATGGTAAAAGCTATGATGCAGCATCGCAGCTGCAATTGTTTTGTATTTCATAATTCTTTCATTTTCAAAACCAAGTTGTGTTTGTTTAAATGTTACTACTGAAACATGTTGAGTTATTTAAGCTATAGAGTTTATACTGGTAAATAAATGGAGTCATGTTTTACCCGATGATCTGATAATAAAAATTACATTTGTACTTCATTGTGCCTTTGTTTACGGGTAAACCAGCATTAATTAATGCGCCTAATAATCCAGTGCCCTAATGGTGCGAATAATATGGTACAGAGAAAAAAACATTTACTATGGTCCCTCTCTCTCTCTCTCTCTGGTCTCTCTCTCTCCCTCTCTGGTCTCTCCCTCTCTGGTCTCTCCCTCTCTGGTCTCTCCCTCTCTGGTCTCTCCCTCTCTGGTCTCTCCCTCTCTGGTCTCTCCCTCTCTGGTCTCTCCCTCTCTGGTCTCTCCCTCCCTGGTCTCTCCCTCTCTGGTCTCTCCCTCTCTGGTCTCTCCCTCTCTGGTCTCTCCCTCTCTGGTCTCTCTCTCTGGTCTCTCTCTCTCTCTCTCTCTGGTCTCTCTCTCTCTCTCTGGTCTCTCTCTCTCTCTGGTCTCTCTCTCTCTCGTCTCTCTCTCTCTCGTCTCCCTCGTCTGTGTGTGCTCTCACCTTCTAGAGTTCTGCGCAGACTCTTCTCTCTCTTGGAAATCTCCGACAGAAACAGTTTGGAGTTGAGGTTTCCCACTTTGTACGGAGGGAGAGTGCTTCCCACGCAGGTCTGAGCTCTGGAGACGACAGCAGAGAAAACAGAGGATTAGACAAAACATATACCACAGACTGTTTACAGATGGACAATTCTAACAGACTGTATACAGGTCATGGATCTATAATAATAACTGGATAGGGTATTACTAGCTTATAGCTGTCCCACCAATGGGCACAGGGGGCGCCCGTGGTACTGCAGACTAAATTCACGTGGGCTACCCAGAAAAATGTCCCATAGATCTCAATGTAAACTAAAACAGCTCGACCTCAGCTGACAGAGAACCTACAGCTTTCATAAAGATCGGTTTTTGTGGGGATTTTAGTGTCCCTTGTCATCCTGAACTAATTTTCTTGTTAAATCCATTGGTTTTCTTTAAATCCAATCTTAAGTGCTATGCTCCCGCTCTGGCCCCGCTCTGATCAGCGGCTCTGATTGATCTGAATGCTGCCTCTCTGTGCACGTGCATGAGAGCCACACACGTGTGCTCGTTAGTATTTGGCGCAAAGCATCATGGGAGGTTGTTCACTGTACATGCATGTGCACAGAGGGGCTCGGCCGAGCTCTGACCAATCAGAGCTGCTGATCAGAGCAGAGCTAGAGCGGAGCCAGAGCAGGAAGAAAAGCAGCAGAGTTTGTTGCAGTAAAGTGTGGATTAAGAAAACCGAAGGATTTAAGAAAAAAAGTTCAGGATGACAAGGGACACTAAAATCCCCACAAAATCCGATCTTTATGAAAGCTGTAGGTTCTCTGTCAGCTGAGGTCGAGCTGTTTTAGTTTACATTGAGGTCTATGAGGAAAATTTCTGGATAGCCCACGTGAATTAAGTCTGCAGTACCACGGGCGTCCCCTGTGTCCATGGGTGAGACAGCTATAAGCTAGTGATGCCCTATCCAGTTATTATTATAGATCTATGAGCATGGATCTGCGGGGCTTGATACAAATGAACAATGCTAACCCGCTAACTCAATGAAGCCCAAAAGGGAAGTGCCAATGGTGAAGTTTGGTTCCAGCTCGTTCTGGCTCCTATTGACATACATTGGTCTCTCTCCTGTCGGAGAGGATCTTGGACCTGGATTAGACCCTGGACCAGGACCTGGACTGACCTGTCTGACAGGATCTTGACCGGCTTGGTGTTCTTCATGAAGTTGAGCGTCTCCGACTTCTCAAAGACTGTGTTGATGGAGCTGAGGATCTTCTGGGCCTCGTGTCTCTGTTCCCCCAGGACCAGGACCTGGGCAGAGTTTTCCTGACAGAACCTGGACTGGGCCCGGTCTAAGGCCTCTAGTGTCCGGACCAGATCCTCCTCCAGCAGCTGGTGCATACGCTGGTACTGCAGACGGACCTCCTCCTTCAGCTCACACACACGGTCCTGAGGAGAGAGGACCAGATCCACTCTGTTCAGAAACTCATCTTGGCCCTGAGCAGAAGTCTCCATCCCTTAGCTCTCATAAGTCTCCATCCCCCTGTTCTCAAGAGCATGTGTTGCCCTTTAATATCTGTGTCAGATTCTTTATCCTCTTTGGCATCTCTCTACTCTGGTCTCCCTCTGATCTCTCTATAGTCTCTCTGGTCTTTTTCTGATCTCTGGTCTCTCTCTCTCTTTCTCTCTAGTCTCTCTCTGGTCCAGTCCTGGTCTCTCACCTCCACCACACACTTGTCAGAGTCCAGCTTGCAGAGCTGCTCCTCGATCTCCTGGACTCTCTCCTCCACCTTCTCCTGCTGACGCAGCAGAGATTGCTGCAGAGAAACACACACACATCAATAAAAACACACACAGACACACACGCATCAACCAAACGCACACGCAGGACAGGGGCACAATCTTTGATCATGATCAACATTGTAATGTAAGTTCACTTTCCTGTAGAGAGACCAGAGAGAGAGACCAGAGAGAGACTAGCCTGGCCTTAGCCATCCATACACTCCGCTCAATCATCATTTCATCATTTCACAGCATGTGACGTCTGGGTCTGGTCCCTGTGTTACCGATTACCAATCGCTTGAATTTCGACCGACCATTCAGAGACCGCGGAAGGCGGGTAATTATAGTTAGTTGTGGGTGACGTCAAGAGTTTGCGTCGAACGGGAAGGTTGGCTTGGCAATGGCGAAGAATGCGATAGTAAAGTAATCGGCTCTGGTTCTATCAAGAAATTGAAGCCGGAGCAAGAGGAATGTTTAGCAAATGTAATTGCTGGAAAAATTGTGGCGCTACTCCCCACGGGTTCCATTAGCGGCAAAGGAGATGGCTAGGCTAAATGCTAAAGGCTAACGACAGACTCGAGCGCACTACATACGTGACGGTAAACTCAGATCCAATCGTTTGAATCTGCAAAAGGAGTTAACCCCTCCCACCTGTAAACGGAGCTCAATGGAGCGCCTCCAGACCTTATTACGCAATTTGTACTATGGTGTGGTGCGACCAGGCTAGAGAGAGACCAGAGAGAGACTAGAGAGAGACCAGAGAGAGAGACCAGCGAGAGAGACCAGAGAGAGAGACCAGAGAGAGACTAGAGAGAGACCAGAGAGAGAGACCAGCGAGAGAGACCAGAGAGAGAGACCAGAGAGAGACTAGAGAGAGAGACCAGCGAGAGAGACCAGAGAGAGAGACCAGAGAGAGACTAGAGAGAGAGACCAGCGAGAGAGACCAGAGAGAGACTAGAGAGAGACCAGCGAGAGAGACCAGAGAGAGACTAGAGAGACCTTTAAAGCCCCACATAACTGACTACCTCTCTTCCCATCCTCCCCCTCCCCTCCCTCATGTCGATCCTCCTCAGCTCCACCTCACTGACCCCTCTCTCCCCTCTTCCCCCTCCTCCCCCTCTTCCCTCGCTTCCCCTCCTCACCCTCATGTCGATCCTCCTCAGCTCCACATCACTGACAGCGTGCCCATGGTTGGGGTGACACCTGGTGAAGCAGCAGTACTGGCAGACAGCCGTGTGCTCGTGCTCGCAATGGTAGAGGCGGTACTCGTCGTGCTGGGGGCAGGTCCAGGCCTTCACGGCAGTTGCGTCCACCAGAACGTGCCCCAGGGCAGAACACGGCTGCTGCAGGTGAGTCTGGACGTGAGACTGGCAGCAGGGGGCGTTACAGCGCAGACACACCTTCACCGCCGCCAGAGGAGGACCACGACGACACAGGATGCACTGGAGGACTGCAGAGGCTGGCTTCTGAGGGGAAGGTGAGAGGAGCGGGAGGGAGGGAGAGGGGAGGGGGAGAAAGACCAGAGGGAGGGAGGAGAGGGAGGGAGGAGAGGGGAGGGGGAGAAAGACCAGAGGGAGGGAGGAGAGGGAGGGAGAGAGACAGGGTTAGTATACAGGAGGTCAGGCACTGGGCTTTGAGCCTGGAGGTTGTGGGTTCAATCCAACCACAAGACTTTCTCCACCGACTCCCACTGATGTCTGCTGTCGTTGTGTCCTTCGCAAGACACGTATGCCTCTTTTCCACAGTAACGGAATGATACGGTACGGCACGGCACGGTTATTTTGCATTTCCACTAGGGTTGGGCTTGGGATCTGGGTACTTTTTTCGTACCACCTCGACAGTGGTTCCAAGTGGGCCAAAGCGATACCATAGCGTGACGTCAGCCGACTGCCTTACACTGATTGGTCAACGAGTCTCGTCACTGGAAGCGACGTCCGACCCCTTGGTAAAAACAACTCAACCGCCATCTTTAAAACCTTCTATAACCATGGATCTATAATGGGCTATAATACGTCCTCCTCACTCCAGAGAAATGGAATTGCACAGAAAACCCCAAAAGGTCTTGGTCAGTCGACGAGGTCAACACGGTCTCTTTAGGCCGAAGAAAGAATTCGAAGGCAGCTCGAATGTACAACACGGAACAAGGTTTTCAGGGAGATTGCTCTTGATTTGTGACTAGTCTGTGGTTATCCTGGAAATACTTAACTGGTTATCTACGTATCCCGTTGGCCCAAAGCTCTCACTGAAATGTATTTACTCGTGTAAAAGTTTGATTGTCTGTTGTACACAGTGAGCTAGCTACATTTAGCTTCATTTAGCTATCGATATTAGGCTAAACTAACGTCCTTCCACTGTGCTGTATTTTGTCCTTTCACGTGTTTCTGTTTTGTGCCTGTACTTGAGTTGAGTATATTTATTTGTTTGAGAATCCCTTCCCTCAAGTGAGGAGATTAAAAACGAGCAATAAGTGACCGGAGTACTTAACATTCTCCTCATCTCGACCTGGTCTCAAACGTACTTTGGACTTTGTAAACTGTTGGTTTTGCACTTTACTTTTGTTTTTAATAAATGTGTGATTGTATCAAGACTTTGTTTCATTCATTTGTGTGTACACGTGCAGAAAAGGGGTTCAAAAGCAAAAGTTACGATTTCCTACCTACTTTTACTTCTCTTTACAATGAAAACCGTACAATTCCACTATCAATTACATACATTATATTTGTCAGTAAATCCGTATAACCGTGGAAAATGTATGAACAAGGATGGAGACATATTTGCTAAATACAAAAAGGTTTTATTTTTGATTAAAACACAAGGGCAAAGTAAATGACTAGGCGTATGATTTTTATCATATATTCCTTTTTTACTTCTCACTTTTTTTCGAGTTGATACTTAGATTTACAATATACATGTATTTTAAACAACTAAGTTATGTTTTGAACTCGAAATATAAACGTTACATTTCAAATGACAAAAAGTGACGCATCAGACCAATGTTATTAGTTACGCGTCACGCGTAAATGACGTGGTTTGACAACCCCTCCCACACTGAGGAGAAACTTGGAGGTACTATTTTAAATGGAAAAGCACCCACACTCTGCCGCACCGTGCCTTACCATGACTATGGAAAAGTGGCATTAACCTCTGGGAACACCAGGTGCCACAGTGGGGCGGCTGCAGCTGTAAAGTGCCAAACTGCCGTTGTGTCCTTAGGCAAGACACTTCAACCACATTGCCTAGAATGAGTCTGGTGTGTGAGTGAATGGTTGGTGGTGGTCAGAGGGGCCCATGACAAATGGTTGCCTCGCTTCTGTCAGTGTGCCCCAGGGCAGCTGTGGCTACAGTAGTAGTTTATCACCACCGTGTTTGGAGTGAATGAAAAACATGAAGTGTCTGTGAGTGTCCAAAAACGATACATTATTATTAATAATAATAATAATAATATTATTAATCTCCTCCACCTTACTACCTCCTCGCAGGCTACCCATGACAACCCTCTATTGGTGGCAATTCCTTGGTAACCATGGCTTCCAGCAGCTCAATCACTTTCAGTTAGAACACTTTAGTATCAGCTCGGCCTGGATAGAACAAGGACCAAGAGGGACCGGTGGAACCTCTCCCAATCAGAGTCGAGTCAAGTCGAGTCAGTACCTTCTCCACACTCAGAGCGTTGTACTTCTCCACAATGTTGCTGAGTTTGTGGTTCTTCTCGAGGCTGGGCTTCTGGGCGTATCCATGGTTACACTCGGGACACCTGGTGGCCGTGGTGTCCTTGGCCCAGGCCTCGCCGATGCAGCCGCGACAGAAGTTGTGTTTGCACGGCAGCTGGATGGGCTCCGAGAACACGTGCAGACAGATGGGGCAGATCAGCTCCTCCTCAAAGCAGTTCCTCCACGACTCCGCCATATCTGAGGTCGCCATGACAACAGAGGGCGCGGGGCTGTGGGGAGGAGTCAGGAGCAGGAAGAAGCAACTTTCAGACCACAACAGAACTCTGATGACATCCATGTCTTTAAAACAGTTTGTTCTGTCACTAGTATTCACATACCAGGTCTAAAGCAAGTCTAAACCAGGTCTAAACCTGGACTAAACCAGGTCTAAACCAGGACTAAACCAGGACTAAACCAGGTCTAAAGCAAGTCTAAACCAGGTCTAAACCTGGACTAAACCAGGTCTAAACCAGGACTAAACCAGGACTAAACCAGGTCTAAAGCAAGTCTAAACCTGGACAAATCCGGGACTAAACCAGGTCTAAACCTAGACAAAAACAGGTCTAAACCTAGACTAAACCTGGACTAAACCAGGTCCAGGTCTAAAGCAGTATTATAGTAATAGGCCAAGTAATGGGTGCCTAGTGGAAACCACATAAAAGCAGGTTTATGAATGATCTCAAAGATCAAAGATCAAACAGATACTGAGTCTGGAATGAACACAGAGACAGTTTAAAGCTGAGGTTCTTCACTTCTGTTGTTTACATAACGAGTCTGATCTCTCTCTGGTCTAAGCAGAGAGGGAGACCAGAGAGAGAGACCAGAGAGAGAGACCAGAGAGAGACCAGGGAGAGAGACCAGAGAGAGAGACCAGAGAGAGAGAAGTTTGACACTGCTCTAATGCGCAGATGTCTAAAGCAGAACTAAACACTGTACCTTCCTGTGTCGCGGAGGAGGACCACACCGGATGAATAGTTGACAGAAGAAAAACTAGGTCCGGCCCCAAAATTACAATCCGAACAATCCACTGGACCAGCAGACCCAAGAGGACGAACGAGGATTCACCAGTGACGAGACCAGAGGGGCTTTCCGGAACCCGTCACCGAACCAGGCCGGGAGAGGAAACGCCAAGTAATACAAAATTAAAGTTGGCGTAAGCATCCGGAGGCGACGTAATGTCCACGTTACGCCACGCTCCTGGGCCAACGCGTGGAAAGCAGTATCTGTGTCTATAGACGCGAAAAATACGTTTACACTCGTTCATGAATAGTAAATACTTCGCTATAAGTCTCTTCCCATCTACCCCCTCTCTCCCTCTCTCGCTCTCTGGTCTCTCTCTCTCTCTGGTCTCTCCCTCTGTCGCGCGGATCAGACGCGTAAAGCGCTCTGGCTCATGAATAGTAATCGCTTCGCTCCGTCTCTCTCTCTCGTCTCGCGTTTCTGCAAAAAGGCGAAAAAATCCGAGGATCACTAGGCCTGACGGTGGTTCTCTGTTTGTGTTTAGGCCCCAACAATGGCGCTGGCATCACACAGAGACACACACAGTCACAGAGACTCACACCAGAGCGATATTACTGCCTAGATAATGGTTTGGAAGCGGCACAAACACAAAGGCCGTGTATCTGGGAGTCCGCTGGAATGTTGGCTTCCTCTGTGTGCGAGCTCTCCACAAAACCCCAAACTGACTGCGATCTGGATTCTATCATCAAATCTGTGCGTGTGCGCGCCCCCGTGGCTCCAAACCCACAGAAACCAACAGAAATCCAGAGAAATCTTTTATTTTGCCCAGAGACGTCACCTCACCATCGCTCCGCCGCGGCCCGAGAGCTAAACCGCAGCTTCCGCCGCGAGAGTCGGACATTGTTCGGTAGAAAGAGCCATATTCAGGAACAGGAGCTGGTGTCGCAGGTTCGATTCCCCCGCTGGGCCGACGCAACGCGACCAGTGGTGGTATGTGCGAGGCTAGAGCTCGGGTTTAGGAGCCATCTTGCATCAAAATCCACAGAGGAAATGGAAAAGCGCTGCAGAAACCCCCGCTTGTGCCTCGATCGGAGCTTTACGAGGATCAAAGGCACCGCTGCGTACGTGCGTCCATTCTCAGAGCGAGCGTCAGTCCTGGTCCGGGCTGGAAGGGGGCGCGACCCGGGCTGAGGCTGGGACTGGGGGGAGCAGCAGATCAGCCGGGGGTTCTATGCCTCAGTTCTTTCTCTGTCGCTCGGCCTGGCTCCGGAGAGGAATGCAGCTGGACTGGACTCCGAGCGCGTCAAAGCCACGAAACGGGGGCTCGCGTCCGGGAGCGGAGTTTCAAAGTAAAACAGGACTTTGTGGATACAATTAGATTATAATTACATGACCATAGAGAGACCAGAAAGAGAGAACAGATATAGAGAAAGACCGATGAGAGAGACCAGGGAAAGAAAAGAGGTAGACCAGGGAGAGTCCAGAGAGAAAGACCAAGGTGAGAAAAGAGAGAGAGACTAGGGATAGAAAAGAGAAAGAGACCCGGGAGAGACCGGAGAGAGAAAAGATGTAGACCAGAGAGAGACTAGAGTGAGACCAGAGAGAGACCAGTGAGAGAAACCAGTGAAAGAGACCATGGGAGAGACCAGTGATAGACCAGAGAGAGACCATATGTATATTTCCTATGTAAGAGCCAGGAACCAGCGACAAGGCTTTTATCACATAGTTATTTTGTTGTAGTTTGAAAGTTACGTCCCTCAGCTTTACTGTGAAGGCCCGTGTCTGTCCTGCTCCTCTTCTGCTCATGCGCTCTGTCTTTACGCACCAGCCCCCTCCTCGCGCCCTCCTTCCGGATCACGTGACCTGTCACAGCCCCGACCCGTAACCGTGTTACGTTCTGGGGGCCGGGGGGATGTGGAGGTCCCGAGGCCGGGGCGAGAGGCTGCAGAGGCGGGTTCAGAACAGAGAGAGGCCCCGGCGTCAGACCAGCGTCAACGCGAGCAGTGGAGGAATGGAGTTGGATGTGTTTCTGAAGGCGACAGGGCCGGTCCCACAGGCTGCAAGGCCCAGGCCGAGTGTGGCCCAAGCCCCCACCTCACAACACTTCACCATGAGCACTTCCCCATGGGGCTTCTTTGAGCTCGTGGGTCAGCGCTGTTCGTCTGCAATTGGATCCTAAAACCCAGTGACCATAGGATTTTTCAAGCATTTGCCCAAAATAGAGCTTCAAGAACAGAACGGTTACAGATTTAGTCATTGGGTTATCAACAAAAATGGTCTCTTTCCCTGCTCTCTCTCTGGTCTATTTCCCTGGTCTCTCTCCCTGCTCTCTCTCTGGTCTCTTTCCCTGGTCTCTCTCCCTGCTCTCTCTCTATGGTCTCTCTCCCTGGTCTCTTTCCCTGCTCTCTCTCTGGTCTATTTCCCTGGTCTCTCTCCCTGCTCTCTCTCTCTGGTCTCTTTCCCTGGTCTCTCTCTATGGTCTCTCTCCCTGGTCTCTTTCTCTGCTCTCTTTCCCTGCCCTCTCTCTCTCTGCCCTCTCTCTCTCTGTTCTCTTTCCCTGGTCTCTCTCTCTGGTCTCTTTCCCTGCTCTCTCTCTCTGTTAGCCACTTCCTTATGGCTTTGGTCGTTTCTTCTTACATTTAAACCTAATAAAAAGCATAGATTCAAGCACAAACACAGACTCGCCTCTCCACAGACATGACTCACTCTTCCAGGAACAGGCCTCCTCCTGATGAGGCTGCGATGACACACACGTCTGTATAGTGTGTCTGTATGTGTGTGTGTCTGTACCTTTGTGTGTGTGTGCGCACGTGAGTTTTGACGGAACCAATGAGAGTTAAGTATGTTCCTCTATGACGAACCGTAACAGACCTAAGAGTTATTTTACACATTTGCAGGAAGCCCCGTGTGAACAGGGCATGAAAAAAATTAGTTAAATCTCTTATTGTTCCTCTCCACGGAAATCTTTAGTAAAAGGCGAAAGATTTATGCGATCTGAAGAGAAACAAGAGTGTACTGCAAGATCTGGGGCAAAGTGGGGAACCGCACCACAGAGACGCCGGCCTCACTCACGGTGCAGAGCCGAACAGCCAATCAGAGAAGAACCAGGAATTATGCGGTCAACTCTGCGGGTACTCGTTGAGGCGCTAGAGGTCGCTAGGGGGCGAAATATGTTAAAGCCATGCTAACATTGACTGTATACAGATGGACAATGCTAACCCTCCAGCTCAATGAAATCCAACAGGGAAGTGCTCATGGTGAAGTTTGGCTCCTATTGACTTACATGTAAAAGTAAACTCCTCTATCTCAGTAAACATTCCTTAAATGGCTCATAGATATATAGCTATCTGGTGTCCAGCAGAAGCAAAAATAAGAAATGTAATTGATCATTCTCAAAAGCTAAAATAATAACCAGAAACAGCCCTTCAGGACGGGTCACAGCAGAGGTGGAGTAGCCTCTGGGTGGAGCAGGACAGGTCACTAGGTGGAGTAGTAGCCGCTTCGTTCGGACCCTTTTCTCTGCTGTAGTCCAAAGTAAAATACTAAAGGCTTTTTGAAATTTTTCCAAAAAGTTTTTCACCTGATCCACATGGTTTGGACCATGAATCCTCTCTGCTCTGGTCCGTACCAGTGCAAAACCATGAACACTGTATACTGCAGCAACATCTCAGGTAGAAAAAAGCAAGAATAATACAAATTGTAAAGCACAAAACAGCAGCTGTTTCAGAGCTACTCAGGACTTGTATCTTGTACTTAGGACTCATATCTGGATTTCCAAAGACAATATCACAACATAAACACCAGGATCACAGAGAGCCATAGGTGAGGGTGGCACCAACGGTTACTGAGGAGTAACGGAGTTTTTTTTACATGAAAGTCTATGGGACCCAGAGATAAAAGCCAAACTTTTCCATGAGCACTTCTCTGTGGGTTTCATTGAGTTAGCAGGTTAGCATTGTCCATATACTGTCAGTCCTACGATCGTGTTTCCATGTTGCTTTGATAGCATTTGACTGATTTTTGTATTTCAGTTATATTCACCAGATTTAGCACTTTTTAAAAGTAAGAAAGGGTCAAAAAACATCAATTAAAAACCGGTGGGAAACGAAAAATGTTTTGGGGAATGTTGGAGAATCGATTGATGTGAAAGGGAGCCGTCATAGTGACTGCTCTGTGAGTTGTAGTAACTTCAGAATTCTGGCATGAGACAGCGCAGAAGTTGACATTAGTGATGGGTCGTGCCGCGTCGAGAAATCCCGAAAGTCTTTAGCGGAGCGCAGACCGAAGCATCAATTGTTTTCGGTTTCGATGAGTGACGTCACTAATGACGTTTGAAGCCTCGGTAATAAAGGAAATAGAGCGATTCATGAATCTACATAAGTCTGTAATGGATCCGCTCCAACTTTGAGGGTTTGTGTAAAAAATTAAAAAATACAAAATGTTTTTTTAATCTTTTAGTGAGCAGAAAGAAGGACCTTGATGATGCCTTGGTGTCAATGATCATTAAAGACACCCAGCCTCTCAGTGGAGGACACTAGTGTAGTGGAGGACACTAGTGTAGTGAGGACACTAGTGTAGAGGAGGACACTAGTGTAGTGGAGGACACTAGTGTAGTGGAGGACACTAGTGTAGTGGAGGACACTAGTGTAGTGGAGGACACTAAGTGTAGAGGAGGACACTAGTGTAATGAGGACACTAGTGTAGTGGAGGACACTAGTGTAGAGGAGGACACTAGTGTAGAGGAGGACACTAGTGTAGTGGAGGACACTAAGTGTAGTGAGGACACTAGTGTAGAGGAGGACACTAGTGTAGTGGAGGACACTAGTGTAGAGGAGGACACTAGTGTAGAGGAGGACACTAGTGTAGAGGAGGACACTAGTGTAGAGGAGGACACTAGTGTAGAGGAGGACACTAGTGTAGAGGAGGACACTAGTGTAGTGGAGGACACTAGTGTAGTGAGGACACTAGTGTAGTGGAGGACACTAGTGTAGTGAGGACACTAGTGTAGTGGAGGACACTAGTGTAGTGAGGACACTAGTGTAGTGGAGGACACTAGTGTAGTGAGGACACTAGTGTAGAGGAGGGACACTAGTGCAGTGGAGGACACTAGTGTAGTGGAGGACACTAGTGTAGTGAGGACACTAGTGTAGTGGAGGACACTAGTGTAGTGGAGGACACTAGTGTAGTGGAGGACACTAGTGTAGTGGAGGACACTAGTGTAGAGGAGGACACTAAGTGTAGAGGAGGACACTAGTGTAATGAGGACACTAGTGTAGTGGAGGACACTAGTGTAGAGGAGGACACTAGTGTAGAGGAGGACACTAGTGTAGAGGAGGACACTAGTGTAGAGGAGGACACTAGTGTAGAGGAGGACACTAGTGTAGTGGAGGACACTAGTGTAGTGAGGACACTAGTGTAGTGGAGGACACTAGTGTAGTGAGGACACTAGTGTAGTGGAGGACACTAGTGTAGTGAGGACACTAGTGTAGTGGAGGACACTAGTGTAGTGAGGACACTAGTGTAGAGGAGGACACTAGTGCAGTGGAGGACACTAGTGTAGTGGAGGACACTAGTGTAGTGGAGGACACTAGTGTAGTGGAGGACACTAGTGTAGTGGAGGACACTAGTGTAGAGGAGGACACTAAGTGTAGAGGAGGACACTAGTGTAATGAGGACACTAGTGTAGTGGAGGACACTAGTGTAGAGGAGGACACTAGTGTAGAGGAGGACACTAGTGTAGAGGAGGACACTAGTGTAGTGGAGGACACTAAGTGTAGTGAGGACACTAGTGTAGAGGAGGACACTAGTGTAGTGGAGGACACTAGTGTAGAGGAGGACACTAGTGTAGAGGAGGACACTAGTGTAGAGGAGGACACTAGTGTAGAGGAGGACACTAGTGTAGAGGAGGACACTAGTGTAGTGGAGGACACTAGTGTAGTGAGGACACTAGTGTAGTGGAGGACACTAGTGTAGTGAGGACACTAGTGTAGTGGAGGACACTAGTGTAGTGATGACACTAGTGTAGTGGAGGACACTAGTGTAGTGAGGACACTAGTGTAGAGGAGGACACTAGTGCAGTGGAGGACACTAGTGTAGTGGAGGACACTAAGTGTAGTGAGGACACTAGTGTAGTGGAGGACACTAGTGTAGTGAGGACACTAGTGTAGTGGAGGACACTAGTGTAGTGAGGACACTAGTGTAGAGGAGGACACTAGTGCAGTGGAGGACACTAGTGTAGTGGAGGACACTAGTGTAGTGGAGGACACTAGTGTAGTGAAGACACTAGTGTAGTGGAGGACACTAGTGTAGTGAGGACACTAGTGTAGTGGAGGACACTAGTGTAGTGAGGACACTAGTGTAGAGGAGGACACTAGTGTAGAGGAGGACACTAGTGCAGTGGAGGACACTAGTGTAGTGGAGGACACTAGTGTAGTGGAGGACACTAGTGTAGTGAGGACACTAGTGTAGTGGAGGACACTAGTGTAGTGAGGACACTAGTGTAGTGGAGGACACTAGTGTAGTGAGGACACTAGTGTAGAGGAGGACACTAGTGCAGTGGAGGACACTAGTGTAGTGGAGGACACTAGTGTAGTGAGGACACTAGTGTAGTGGAGGACACTAGTGTAGTGGAGGACACTAGTGCAGTGGAGGACACTAGTGTAGTGGAGGACACTAGTGTAGTGAGGACACTAGTGTAGTGGAGGACACTAGTGCAGTGGAGGACACTAGTGCAGTGGAGGACACTAGTGTAGTGGAGGACACTAGTGTAGTGGAGGATTTAGAGAGTTTGAGATCCAAGCTACATCATCCCCACAAGAAAGGTTTGTTTGGTGATGAGAGTATTTTTCAGTTCAAAGTATTGATTATTGTTTACTTCTTCAACTATTCTTCAGACTGTAAAGGCTGTGGTTGAGGAGAGATACCAACATGAGAAGGAGAAGGCCAAAGCTGAGGTCCAGAGGGTACATGCAGTGAGTTTGACTGCAGACATGTGGACATCGTTAAACATGGACGGTGCTTACTTGGCTGTAACATGCCATTTTATTGATGAGAAGACATGTCTGAAGTCCATAGTACTTCCCACAGGCACACACAACTGAAAACTTGGCCAGTATTAAAACCTCCCTCATGGAGGAATGGGGAATCCGATCCAAAGTAACTTGTTTAGGTCAGGACACTGGAAGATAAATATGAAACCATGGTCACGTTATGGTGTCAAAGGTGATTCTTAAATTATATTTGGGACACACAATCTAGAAGTAGCATCTCACCTCTATACATTTATTTATCAATGTTAGTAAAGCTAAATCTGTCTCTCTAGTAACTGATGGTGCAACAAACATGCTGGCCTGTGGCAGGGAGCTGAAGCTGCACCATGCAGTGTGTGTTGCTCACACAGTTGTGAAAAAGGCTCTGGATCTAACCCCAGCATTAGCCAGTATTTGGGTGAAGACAAGAAAGCTGGTGGGGTATTTTAGAAGCAGTACAACTGCTAAAGAAAGGAACATAATTTTCACATTAGTTTCACAATATTTTACATTGCTACATGTGTAAAATTGACTTTTTATGTTTGAAGGAAAAGCTGGACAGAGTTCAGGAACAGATGGGGTTGCCTAAAAAGAAACTGATCCAGGAGGTGGAACAGCACCTTCAGCTTTGGCGGGCCTCACATCTGACATCCCTGCTGTGACCTCAGAGGATTTTTCTATTGTGTGTGGGTGCCTGGCAATTCGTTCTCCTTTCAATGAGGCCACTGTGGTGTAGATAACTCATGTGGTGGACTACAAGGACTGTATAAAGGTGCTAGTTTGTGTTGAAGCGGTTACTATCCTGGAATGTCGGCCAGAACACTACTTGAGCCACCATGATATTCAGAAAGGAGACAATGACAAGACGGGTTGATGATAGGTCTTTGTATTGAACATTTGTCTGGCTGTGAGAGTGTGGTATTTCAGTCACAAACGCACACTTAGGAGCACAGCAACAGACCACATCTGACCCGTAGAGTTGTAGAAAGCAAAAAGGGTGTTTTCCCTCTCGGCGTCGTCTGTACCAGGTAAAGGGTAGGTGCGCCCTCAAGTGGACACTCCAGGAACCGCACGCAACAAACTAAATCATAGAACACTCAAACGAAGGAGCCTTTTGTACAGCCGCCCCCAAATGTATGAAGTACATTTGATGAACAAAAGGCTAATACAAATAGAACTTATGGCGATTGTCCATGGTCTTCTTCTGGAAGGGCTGGCAGGATTACCAGCCTCGCTACAGGGCGTGTAAGTGTCCTGTCCTTTACCTTAACGTCAGCAGACCTGATGAGCCCATCTGGACTGGGGTGGACCTTGGAGATGCGTCCAATGAGCCAGGAAGCACGTGGCAACTGAGGATCCACAATCATCGCCACAGAGCCCGTGGCAATGTCTGTAGAAGACGACTGCCACTTCTGCCGGGACTGCAGGCCAGGAAGGTACAATCTGATGAAATGGGACCAGAAGTGGTCTGCCAACACCTGGGAGTGTTTCCACCTCCGGCGACTCAGGAGCTCTTCCTTTGGATACACCACTTGTGACAGTGATCCGTCGGGCCGCCCCATCAAAAGGCAATTCGGGGTCACGGGATCAGGGTCGCTGACATCAGAAGGGACATACCCCAACGGTTTGGAGTTAAGGATGCCCTCTACCTCCACTAAGACTGTGCGCAGAACTTCTTCAGGCACGGATTGGGCTCCAACTGTAGTGAAGAGCGCAGTCTTGACTGATCGAATCTCCCGCTCCCACGCTCCGCCGAAGTGAGGAGCAGCTGGCGGATTGAAGCGGAAGAGTATCTTCCTCGGCGCCAGAAACTTCTGCAGATCGGAGGTCATAGACTCAAAAGCAGCACGGAGTTCACCCTCCCCACCACGGAAGTTAGTACCTTGATCAGAATACAGCTCAGCAGGACTTCCTCTCCTGGCAATGAAACGTCGGAGTGCCATGAGGAAGGAGTCAGTGTCAAGGGAAGTTAGGACATCAAGGTGAACTGCTCGGGTGGTAAGGCATTTAAAGATTATGCCCCACCTCTTTTCTACTCGCCGCCCTATTTTAACTTCAAAGGGCCCGAAGCAATCCATTCCTGTCGAATAAAAGACGGGTTTGTAAAGGCGCAGGCGAGCCGCTGGCAGGTCAGCCATCTTAGGAACGGTTGGTCGGGATCTCCAACGGCAGCACTCAGGACAAGTTCTTTGGAAGTTGCGAATTGCTTCTCGGCCTCTCAGGATCCAATATGCACGCCGGATCTCAGCGAAAACCCTCTCTGGCCCTGGGTGGCGTAGACGTCTGTCAAAGTCCTGAATAAGTAGCCGGGTGATAGGGTGTACTGGATCCAGGACTAAAGGATGGACGTTAGAGTAGGCAAGATCTTCAGAGCGACGAAGACGCCCACCTACCCGAATGACTTGACTCTCCTGGTCAAATTCAGGCGAGAGGGCAATGAGGCGACTGCTACGGCTGATGGGTTTACTGGACTTGAGGAGCCGGTACTCCTCCGGGAAGCTTTCCTTCTGAGCCCGTCTCAATACAAAGATCTCCGCATGCAGGTATTCATCAGCTGATGGCAGTCCATCTTGAGTGGCCGCCCCGTGCAACAGTGGGATGGTTGACTCCAATAATTGCAACCAGGTGTTGTATTCATTGTTGCTGGCAGAATCTGTGGTGACAGTGACTGCACAGAAGGTCTCTTTGCGGAGCTCGAGTGAGTCAGGAGGCCCAGCCACAGTGCTACTTGGCTCTGAGGGCCATTGTTCTGGAGGTAGGAGTAGGAAAGGGGGTCCTTGGCTCCACCTGTTAGGTTTTGTAAGTTCCAAAAGTGACTTCCCTCGGGTTATATCATCAGCAGGATTCTGAGATGACTCAACATAACGCCAGGTGTGGGATGTGGTCAGCTCCTGAATCTCAGCTATGCGGGTCCCAACGAAAATCTTGAAGCGGCAAGACTCAGATCTCAGCCAGGTAAGTACTGTAGTGGAGTCTGACCACAACACTGTTGTTTTGATGTCTAGCGTGAGCTCATTCGCAATGAGACTACAAATATGGGCTCCCACAAAGGCACCGCACAGCTCGAGTCTAGGCATGGAGAGCAAACGTTTAGGGGCAACTCTTGAACGAGCCATCAAGAATGCTAGATGAATGGTGCCATCACTGGTTACGGTTCGTATGTAGGCTACAGCTCCATAGGCCTGTTCGGATGCATCGCAAAAGATGTGAATCTCTCTCTCTCGTACAGGCATATTGATGTGCCTTGGTAGGTAAGGCCGGGGGAGCTGAATTTGCGGAAGGAACTCCAGCTCATCTTCCCACGTTCTCCACACTTGTAAGAGATCTGGTGGTAGCTGAGGGTCATCCCAGCCTCTCTGTTGTTCCCAGAGGCGCCTCACCAGCATTTTGGCCCGGGTGGTGTAGGGTAAGATGAAGCCTAGTGGGTCATACTGGCTGGCGAGAACTTTGTAAATGTTCCGCATGGTTGGGCTACCGTAACTCACAGGCCGGTGTTTGTAGCCTAAGATGTCGGTGGGAAAGTGCCAACTAAGTCCCAGGGTTGGCTCAGAGGTGTCTGCTTTATCGTGGGCGAGCCAGAGTTCAGCACTCTCAGATCTAAGGTCTTCTGGAAGGTGGCTAATGGTGCTGGGCTCGTTACTGGCCCACTGACGAAGGACAAAGCCAGCAGGAGACAAAAGGGCTCTAAGTTTGTCAACTAGAGCACGAGCTTCTTCAGGGGACGGAACACTCTGGAGAAGGTTATCAACATAAAAACACTGTTCTACAGAGTGACGGAGCAGATCATCAGCTTGTGTGTGAGCCTTCGTGTGGCTTTGCAGTGCGAAAATTGCACAACAGGGGCTACAAGTTGTACCAAAGGGTAGAACCTGCCATTCAAACACCGAGACCGGTTCCTCGGGGTGCAAGTCACGCCACACAAAGCGCAGGAGAGAGCGGTCCTCGGGAAGCAGGCGAATCTGGTGGAACATGCCCTTTATGTCACCACTAACTGCCACGGCATGCTCTCGAAAGCGGAGGAGGACACCTAGTAAGGACGCTCCTAAGGTTGGGCCAGGTAAGAGATGTTCATTGAGAGTTCGGCCCTGAAACTGGAACGAACAGTTAAACACGAGGCGATGCTTGCCATTGTGGCTAACAAGGTGGTGCGGGATATACCACGACTCATCTGCTTGGGTGACTTCAGAAGGGGACAACTTAACTACAGACCCGACTTGTACCAACTTATCTATCTCTGCAGAGTAGACCCGAGCTTGCTCTGGGTTTTTCTGGAGCCTCCTCTCGATGCTTCTCAAACTAGGTATGACGGCATTAGGGGTTGCCTTAAGAAGGGGCATGCTCTGGCGACGTAGCAGAGGAGTAGCGTACCTGTGTATGTCATCTACCTCAACACGGACTGTCTTTAGCTCGAGCAGGCTGACAGCGTAGTTATCTTCTCTTGAGCGTGTAACTACCTTTCCTGACTTTACTGGTATAACATCTGCTTGCCATAGCTTCTCTACGTGTTTCAGTAATTCACTCACCTGAGGAGCAACACTGGTGGTGAAGAGGCACTGCTGTGGTGGGGAGGAAGAGCAGATGAGGCTAGAGGGGCCCTGTAATGTCCAACCCAACCTGGTGCACAGGGCTGCGGGGCCACCCGGTGGTCCGAGACGCACTGCTTCGGTAGGCGTGATGAGCTGTGGGTGGTCACTACCAATGAGTAGGAGTGGTTTGACCTTCCTGAAGGACCGGAGGGGCAGCCCTCGGAGGTGTTTGTACTTCCGCTGGAGAGACTCTATTGGGTAACTGTGCTCGGCTAGGTCGATATGGTTTGCTGTAAAGGCATTGTTGACCCGGTACTTCAGCTTGGGTTTGCCCTCAGGAGAGATGTAAAAGGAAACACCCGAGCCATGTAGCGTCTGCACATCTTGTCTTATTGTGCGTAGGGAGAGTGTCTCTGGGGTGCCAGGAATGTCTAACCTATGGGCAGCAGCGGGAAGCAGCATGGTTCTCTCCGAGCCATCGTCCAAAACTGCATGAGTACTCAGAGTCTTACCATTATGGTGGAGGGTGACGGGAACTACCTTCAACAAGACGCGGCCGCTCTCTGTAGCACGGTCGAGGTACAGGACACCAGTTGTATTCCCAGCCTCTAGAGCAGGGACGTTTTCAGGGGCAGGCGTCTTCGGGGCAGTGTTTACTTTATGAAGGACCTGTAGATGTCGACCCTGGCAGAGGTTGCAGGGTTTCTTGAGGGTACACTGAGCGGCCTGATGTGCTCGGGCGCAGCGCCAGCATCTCCTGTTGGTCTTTATCCAGTCAGTCAGTTGCTCTTGGCTTAGCTTGATGATTTCAGGGCATTGACTCAGGTGGTGAGCACGATTCTCGCAGAAGGCGCAGTACGGTTGCTGCTTCGGTTGGTTAAGGTTGTTGTCAGAGGAATGGGGTGCATTGTCTGTGGTGTGAAACACTGTGGTAGGGCGCTTACTTGGTTTTGTGTCAGGCCTCTCTGTGGTATTCTTGGGAGTGGGTAGGCCATCAAAATCCTGACACCATGACTCGTATTTCAACCACATAGCCAGGTCATTGAGGGTGTAAGTCTGACCAGAGCGATTGTACATGCACCGGCGAAAGTCAGCTCTCTGCTCTGGAGGGAGCTTGCTCAGGAGCCGTGCCACATGGGAGCCACACTGGAGTTCAACTTCACCGTCCGGACCTAAGGTCTTCAACATGCCCACGAGTGACTGGATTTGGAGGGAAAATTTCTCAAACGCAAACACGTCTCCTCTGCGAATGTCAGGTGAGTCCATCACAGCTGCGATCCTTCTCAGGGCAAGCTGGTGTGGTTGGCCAAGCTTATCATTAAGAGCAGCCATAGTGTCACTGAAAGGTGTGGTGGAATGCAGGTAAGCGTCAGCGATTAACTTAGCCTCCTCTAGGTATAAGTGATCTAACAAGACTTGGTATTTAAATAGCTCTGTACTGTCCAGTGGCAGTAGGTTCTCCAGCGCCATCTTCAGGCGAGCGAATTCCCCAGGATCCCGGTTTATGAGCTTGGGAATGCTTGGGCGAGGACCCCTGTAGGTCATCTCAGGCGCTGCTACCTGTTTTAAAGGTCTTTGGGCCGGTGGTGTCCACCATGAGGGATCAGAAGGTGGTGGAGGACGTTGCATGGGAGGAGGCGTGATCTTTGGCTGGGCCATGGTAGTATGCACTGGCTGGGGATTATAGGGGGGGAATGTTTGACTCTCCTGGGCCGCCAATGATTCCCTCTTCAGACTCTGAAGCTCGTTCATCATTATGTCTAGTCGGTTTATGAGGGGATTCGGGTTAGAGACAGGTTCTTCTTTAAACTCAGCCAACCAAGGGGGGGGTGGAGGCCAGTCCTCCTCTTCATCAATAACAGTATAGGGTGGTTGGTGAGGTGGGGTGGTGAGCTGCAGATTCTCAGCCCGGTTTAGCAGTTGCTGCATACTCGTATGAATGGCCTGGACGTCAGCCAGTCCCGCTCTCATCCTCTCATGTGCCTGCTGGGCAAAATATCTCTCCCGTTGCAGCTCCTCCATATCTGCTCTTGTAGGGTACATATCATCTTGTGGGAACTCCTCATAATGCATATGGGGTAGGGGAGAGTAGGCAGCGTTGCCTAGTGGTGACAGTGTCCCTCCATGTGGGTTGTGCACTTCAGTATCAGGAAAATCGGTTTCATAATCTTCATAACGGAGGGGTCGACGTGCCGTGCGCTTGGGGCGTGCACCAAGTGGAGTGAAGCTCTGAATATCATCCATCTTACACGAACAGAAACTGCTTCATCCGGCTCGAAGGACCATCAATGTGGTGTAGATAACTCATGTGGTGGACTACAAGGACTGTATAAAGGTGCTAGTTTGTGTTGAAGCGGTTACTATCCTGGAATGTCGGCCAGAACACTACTTGAGCCACCATGATATTCAGAAAGGAGACAATGACAAGACGGGTTGATGATAGGTCTTTGTATTGAACATTTGTCTGGCTGTGAGAGTGTGGTATTTCAGTCACAAACGCACACTTAGGAGCACAGCAACAGACCACATCTGACCCGTAGAGTTGTAGAAAGCAAAAAGGGTGTTTTCCCTCTCGGCGTCGTCTGTACCAGGTAAAGGGTAGGTGCGCCCTCAAGTGGACACTCCAGGAACCGCACGCAACAAACTAAATCATAGAACACTCAAACGAAGGAGCCTTTTGTACAGCCACAATTGAACTTTCAGGTGATAAAAAAGTATCTGGCTCTAAAGTGGTGCCACTGCTCAAAATGATAGAGAAGGCAATCCAGGATGAAACTGCTGGGACACCAGTGCCAGTTGCGCTGGAATTGGGAGAGCACCTCATGAGGCTTCTGAGAGAGAGGTTGTATAAAGTAGAGAGCATGAGCAACCGGTTCCTCGCAACACTTCTTGAACCAAGATTTAAGGCACTTGGCTTCTTCTGTCCAATGAAGAAAGAGGAAGCCATCAAAAGGCTCACAGCAGAATGTGCACATTATTGGGTCTCCTTCTCACACAGAGCCACCTGTAGCTTCAACTTCTTCACAGTGTGTCACTGAAAGACCTGGTCAGTATTATTGCTTTAATTTACATTTACTTTGAAGTTATGACTTATTTATATCTGTTTCTTCTTTCAGGAACCAGACTCTGGAGTCATTTGGAGGCTGTGCTTTCAGGATCCAAAAGACCGTAAATAATTTTGCTAATGCAACAGTGGAAGCACAGCGGTACCTGGCAGAACCAAATATTGACCGGAGTGAGGACCCTCTGCAGTACTGGGAGAGGCAGAGGGAGATATATCCAAGTCTGTACAGGCTGGCTGTGGGATACTTATGCACTTATGCAATAGTCCTGCTATTGTTGAGAAGTTATTGTTTTTAAACAACAGATAAAGCACAAATAATATCCTATCTGTGTCATTTTTGTCATTGTCTTGTCATTTGAAAAGCGCTTACACTTTCAAAATATCTTTTGTCCTATTGAATTTATTTAGCTATAATCAATAATTATGAAATATTTCTTTACAGTGTGTGTATGTTAGAACAGACAACTCTACCAGTTACCAGTACATTATAATAATAATAATAATAATAATGTATTGTAATTTAAAATATATTATTCATTAATACCGATATTGATCATAAGCAAACAGATGAAAAAATGCTTCCTACACAATCAAATTAAGGCGTTTTTATTTCTTTTGGCAGAAATTATTCCTATGAATCAAGAGCCAAGAACCAAACAATTCATATGTCATTACACATTTTGACCAACAGGGGGTTTGTATGCATATGCAGCGTCAAGAAATTAACCTTCTCGAACCAGATTTACGGAAAGGTTAACCCATCACAGTTGTCATTCGAACCATAGACATCTAGATTATATTCTTTATGTCTATGGTTCTAATGTCACCTTAGGACTGATCATGATATCTTCACCTGGTGATACAATGTAATTCAATGTACAAAGGAAACCCCGCGTGAGCAAGGCATAAAAAAAATTAGATCACCCTCTGTCTGTTACTCTCCACGGAAATATTAAGTAAAAGGTGAAAGATTTGTACGATCTGAAGAAAAACAAGAGCGTACAGAAGGATGAAGAGTAGGAGGGTTATCATTTTAGGGGGGACACCGGCCACACTCACGGTGCTGAGCGGAACAGCCAATCAGGATCCAGACACACACATCAGAAAACAACGATCTGATCACGCCACAGACTGAACTCAATACACGTTTTATTTATCTTTACTGGAATAGGTTTAGATGGCTGAGAACACGTCTCCAGGATATTTATGCTCAACAACACATTACTGTAAATTAACAAATTGTGAATATGCTAACAAATGCTAGGTTACAGTCTTGCTAGTTAGTCTATGGTTACACTATAGTCTCAATAAAATTATGGTTAAACCATAAACTGTATATTTTAACGGACAGAGTCACGCCTATCTCCGCCGTTCTAACCATGGATGTATTATATTAACTGGATAGGGTATTACTAGCTTGTAGCTGAATAACCCACGTGCTCAGGGGATTCTCGCGGTACTGCAGACTGAACCAGACTAAATTCACGTGGGCTACCCAGAAATTTTCCCCATAGAACTCAATGCATATTAAAACAGCTCGACCTCAGCTGACAGAGAACCTACAGCTTTAATAAAGATCGGATTTTGTGGGGATTTTAGTGTCCTTTGTCATCCTGAACTTTTTTTCTTCTTAAATCCTTCGGTTTTGTTTAAATCCACACTTTAGTGCCACAAACACTGCTCCTCTGGCTCTCGCTCTAACTCCCGCTCTGATGAACTGCTCTGATTGGTCAGAGCGCGGCCGAGCCCCTCTGTGCACGTGCGTGAGACCCGGTGTGAGACCCACACACGCGTGTTTGGCGCAACGCATTATGGGAGATCATCCACTGCGCAGAACCGGGAGGACCAGACGATGCCCAAATACAGGCGAGTTTCCCATAGATCTTTGCGAGTTTCAGGCAACTTCCGCTAATCTTTCAGCCCCCATGCCATCACAAAGCGCCACTGAGCACAACCATTCATTTGAATAGGGCGCCATCTTGGATCGCCGGGGCTTGGTTCTAACTGATGGGCCAAAAAATGTGCTCTACTGGAGCTATCCAAAATGGCCGCGAGTGGTCCCGCCCACAAGAAAATTGTGAAAAAACGCATCTGCGCATGCGTCAGCCAGCGCAACTCCATTCATTTGAACGAGAGACTTCAAAAATTCACAGCAAGTAAACTAGAGTGGACCAAAAAAAATCACCCCCCTCAGCATTGACACACATGTGGAACGGAGCTTTGGGCCAAGAGCCAACTTTTGGTCCATCCTGTAAAGACGATTTCGAGAGGTCTGTCTGTATTCTTCGTCTGTAAGTAAGTAGTAAGTAAGTCAGCGCACGTCATTTTGGCCACTTTTGAGCCAGGACCCGCCCCCACTGGGTTAAACGCATAGACTAACGTAGTGGGTTAATTTGGGTATTTAGAATGTTTTGTGAAAGTTTTTCTTATGAGGTTTAGGAATCAAAACGATAAAAAGCCCAGTTACCTAATAACTGAGGTTCTATGAATATATTGCATATCTCTCGGAAGCACCACTTCCCGCCCTGAGAAGATGAAACGATCCACCGCCCCAATCACCTTCACGTCCTGGCGTAGGTCAGTCCCCTATAAATAGGGCCATGTACCACAGCTCTTCTCCTTTCGAACTCAGCCGAATAAGAGAGGGCAGGCCTGCTGGGCTCACAAACTTAGCGACTTTGTCGCTAGATTTAGCGACTTTTCAGACCCCTATAGCGACTTTTTTTCAAAAAAGCGACTAGCGACAAATCTAGCGACTTTTTCTGGTGTTATTGGCGACTTATCTGGTGTTTTGGCGACTTATCTGGTGTTTTGGAGACTCGTGAAGCACGTATTGTTCTGCTGTCCTCAACGTGAGCCCCTCCCCCGTCCCAAAGCACTTACAGGCGGCCAGTCTCACAGTAGCCTTGCGCAGCAGTCCCAGCTACAGTCTATGGGCGGAGCAGAGAGAGAGAGAGGAGACTCAAAAGCACAGGAAGTTTTCAGGCTGCTGCAGACTGAACTTCAGCTCCACCACCACCACACATCCAAAGCTCCCCGGCCACTCCTACCACCGCCACCCCCCACTACCCCCCACTCCATCCGCGGCAGCTCTGTGACTCTGTTTTCTCTCAGTAGTGGGTCACATTAAATCATTTGTTATGCCAAACTATGAAAAAAAAAAAAAACGTACAAAAATAAACCTAAGTAACTCTGCCAGAGTGTGTCTTTTGGGTCACTTTGCCGGTCCCAAGCCCGGATAAAGGAGGAGGGTTGGTTGTAGAGCTAGCAATTTCACCCTACATAACAATCTTTTGATTACATTTGCTGTTATAACATTTAACAATACAGGACAAAACTGATGTGTGTAATGTGGATCTAGACAAAGCATTAAAATCATTAAATGTTGTTAATGTTGAAATTATTTTTGTACATTTGTAGTTCTAAACATATTTAGGGTGTTTTTACTCACTTTTGTCTCTCCCACGACCTTATTCCTCTCTCCTACAGCGTCCGTTACAGTTATTTGCAAATGGCAAATTATGCAAATTAGGCGATGACGTCATTTAGCGACTTCTAGCGACTTTTGGGACAGCCAATAGCTACTTTCCTTACTGAGGAGTTGGCAACACTGGCTAAAGGGCTTCTCAACATATTCATAGAACCTTAGCTACATTAGGTTCCTGGGGTTTCTATTTCATATGTTGCTTCAGCCCTTTAGGCTTTGCTATTGCAAAACATAGCGAAGCCCAGACCAATGTACTCCCAGCAGGCATGAACTCCGGTGATTGGAGCAAACTCGTGACCCACGTGCTCATACCGCAACCAAGCGGTAGCGATGGCGGTCCTACGAGCCATAGAGAAAAGGATGCAGGGCCACCTCTCCCAAGAGTGCCCGCGCACTCGCCAACCTGCAAGGCAGGAAAGATAATTTAGAACCAACCTGGGCAGGCAGCCTCTCCCAAGAGCGCCTGATCCCCAGGAACGTAAATCAGACTGCAGAAGGGTCTAGGCCGCCTCTCCCAAGAGTGCCAAACCCCCAGTCAACCCATCCTCACTGCAGAGGTGTCCAGGCCGCCTCTCCCAAGAGCGCCAACACCTCTCCACACAACCCTCCACCTGCAGACCGGCCCCCACCGAGGTCTGTCAAAGGAGGAACTAGGGCCGCCCTGCACTCAAAACCGAATGAGCCACAGAGTCA